GACAAATTTTTAACGGTTTTAAGAAATGTTTTGCATCCCCAATGAAAATTTTGATGCCAAAATGCAAGATTAATCGCACTCAAAGACCTGTTTATCACAGCCCTGAAAAATATAATGTTAGTAATGGTTTTTGTTGTTTAAATGGACGTTAAATGTGCTTATGTCCCTCGCACTCATCCTCATACAGCTCGTGCCTTCTCGTTAATTTCGTTCATGTCATCAAATGAACGTTTAATGAATGTTAATCTGTAATCAAAATCAAATTCAGCCATCTTCAATTGACATCATTTCTATCTTCTTCTTTTTAGTCTTGGAACTGATTTCTGATTTTTTTTTCTGTTGTCATTAAATTTGCTAAGCTTCTGAAAAATTGTTATTATGTAGATGTCTCATGAAAGCTTCCATTTGAAAGTCTTAAAAAAATTAAGCTTTCAATTTAATATTACAACAGAAACCCGAGAAGATGAAGATTCAGAGAGTGTAGCATATAAATCCTAATTTTGTAATAATGTGGATCTTCATTTCATTCCACGCTCTTTCAATTTTCTGAGATTTTTCTTTCCAATTCGGCCGAAGAATTCAAATTTCTTTTCTATTACATTTTTTTTATGGAAATTGAAGAAAATCTTTTTTATTATTTTATTGTCGTAATTTTAACATTTTTCTTTCTTTTATTTTCATCTCTGTCAGAAGCAGCAGTGGCAGCTAATGTTTTTTGGGGGTGCAAATGTGTGGGTGGAAAATGAAAAGATTGAATAAATAAACAAAAAAAAAATCCATTTAATCTCTTCGTACATGTTTATTCTTTGGGATATTTTTGAAAAAAAAACCCGATCGGCACACATTGAAATTCATTAAAATGTTTGCTACCCGGCGGCAGGGTTGATAGTAGTGTTCAAAATCTCACCAAATTTTTCACGAGCAAAAATTTTTGTGAGCAAATTTTTTTAAAAATCTCACGAGCAAATTTTTCGTGAGCGGCTCACGAAAATTTTGCTCGTGAGATTTTCAGCTCGCGAGCCGAATTTTGCTCACGAAATTGCTCACGTGAGCCTACGTGAGCAAATTGTGACGTAATTTTTCAAAAAATTTCTATGAATAAATTTGTATGAAATTTCTTGTTATGGGATGGTTCTTCAGAATGGATGAAGCTTTTGCCAGTGACTTTTCATGACTTTGCTGGATAATTTTGAGTATGCAGGACCTTCTTGTTCCTGAATCTTGACTTGTTGCTTGGATTTTTCCTTAATTTTGCTTAGAATCATTTCCAAAATCATAGGAGCCAATGATGGAAATAGATGTCAAAACATTCTTACAATACTTTTGAGACATCTCATATGGAACTGGTCATGTCCAACTGGGTGGAACTGCCGAAATTTTTTTTTTATTTTTCTATGCTTTATAGACACTTTTGGGCAGGGGTTGGAACCAAGCACTTCCTTTACTTCCAGGTCCAATTTTCAGTGCTTACTATGTCAAGGAGGTTTGAACAGGAAATCACAAAACTTTCAAAATATTCAGCAGTTCCTTCGAATATTCTTCAATAAACCGCAAGATTTTGTGAAAATGTATGGAAATTTTATACAAATGCAATATTTCACAAAGGAACTGCTTTCTAATTTGAAAGTTTTGTGTTTTCCTGATGTTTCGAAACCTTCTTGACATAGTAAGCACCTAAAATTGGACCTGGAAGTAAAGGAAGTGCTTGGTTCCAACCCCTGCCCAAAAGTGTCTATAAAGCATAGAAAAATAAAAAAAAAATTTCGGCAGTTCCACCCAGTTGGACATGACCAGTTCCATATGAGATGTCTCAAAAGTATTGTAAGAATGTTTTGACATCTATTTCCATCATTGGCTCCTATGATTTTGGAAATGATTCTAAGCAAAATTAAGGAAAAATCCAAGCAACAAGTCAAGATTCAGGAACAAGAAGGTCCTGCATACTCAAAATTATCCAGCAAAGTCATGAAAAGTCACTGGCAAAAGCTTCATCCATTCTGAAGAACCATCCCATAACAAGAAATTTCATACAAATTTATTCATAGAAATTTTTTGAAAAATTACGTCACAATTTGCTCACGTAGGCTCACGTGAGCAATTTCGTGAGCAAAATTCGGCTCGCGAGCTGAAAATCTCACGAGCAAAATTTTCGTGAGCCGCTCACGAAAAATTTGCTCGTGAGATTTTTAAAAAAATTTGCTCACAAAAATTTTTGCTCGTGAAAAATTTGGTGAGATTTTGAACACTAGTTGATAGTGAAATTATAACCAAGCGACAATGGTCAGGATAATAGCAACGCGAGTCAAAAGACCAATGTTTGAGAGTGATTAAAAAAATCAATTATTAAAGTGTCGGTCCTGCACATCGTTCTATCCATGCGTGTTGCTGCCATAATTATCAATTTCCTAAATATTAAATTTGTTCAGATTATTATAAGAATAATTGAAAATAACATTAAACCAATTGTATGAATCAACATAAGCAGCGATTCCAAATGCATTTAATAATGTCAAAAATCCTCAAGCACCAAACTGATTATCATTGATGCTGAAAAAACTCTTCATTTGAATAATAAAATGTTCTCATTGAAAATTAATTTAAAATACATTACGTTCCTGACTCTTCCCATTTTGACAATGACTCATAATGATAATGACTGAATACTATAAAATTGATACAAGATAAATGAAATTTGAGAAGTCAATCGGAAATTGTTTTTAATTTTAATTAAAATTAAATTTAATGTTAATCATTTTGAATTGTTGATTTTTGTCACAAAATGTTGATGCTGTCAAAAAGAATATACAATTTATAAACATAAATGAGCATCACTTGACTCTATTTTTATGAAAATATAAATTATTGCATTTTGATGGATTTTACTTGTAAAACTTTTTAATTAATTTGCATGCAAAATAAGTCGAGATAAAAAAAATTTCAATTTCCATGATTGACAAAAAATTTTTTTTGAGCATCAAATATAAAAAGCATGAATTGATGGAGAGGAAAAAAAGTCAGTAAATAAAGATACTTGCTTTATGCAGTTTCATGTTGTAAAAAAATGTCATAAAAATCATGTCGAAGCTCTTTTTTGCTTCCTCTGTCAGCACAGAAAAAAATTTGTTCATTTTCAGTTGACTTGATAAGTTCAAAGTGTTTTTGACTCTTTTTTCCTTCCCCATCATTTGAATGTCGATCATCGTCACGACTTTTATGTTTCCCCTATTGCCTGCCTTCACAATTTCGCATTTTATCTTTTTTCAATAAAGAAAAAAAGCTCATAAAATTGAGTCGAATGCCGGAAGTTGAGGAGGAAATGAAGCCATAAAATTAAAAAAAATCTTTCTACTCATTTTAAATTTTTTTGTTGTTTGGCAGGCAGTATAGAGTGTGATCACGAAGTGCTGAGATGCCTTGAACAATTATTATTCATCGATTTCCTTCTTTTTCTCAACTTTTTTAATTAAATTTTTTTTTTCTATTTTTCATTCGAATCAGCAAAAAAATTCCCTTTTGTGGCCTTTTTTCTCCCCTTTTTGCGATGCCAGTATTGATTAACAAAGAATGGACTCGATAATAATTCAAAAGAGGATTTGAGGCATAAAAAATAATTTTCTTGTAATTTAATCTTTTGAATTGAAAATTGCCACTTAGATTGAATGTCAGTCTCAGATTTTTCTTCTCGCTCATTTCCGTCGCTAAATTTTTTTCTTTTTACTTCTGGGACTATTTTTTACTGCCTTCTTTTAATTGGAAATCTCATTCCCAATGTTGCCTTTTTTTCTCACACAATGTCCCATCTCATTCTTCATTTCTCATATTTCAGAAGAGCCGCGCGATATTTAATGCTGTGATATCTATCAACTGTCACATTCAGGCACAGCTTCTGAGTCATTTGGTTTCTTTCTTAACTTTTGTCTTTGTTTTGCAGTTTTAAAGCAAAATGACTTTTTTTTTGTTCATTTTCCACTTGACTTTTTTTGTTCCTTTATTTTATATCCTGTTTCATTTCAGACGTGCTTTTTGCTTGATTTTTATCATCAATAAAGTTATTGTGTTGAATGGTTTTATGCTCCTTTTTAGGGAGTCGTTGAGACATTTTGTTTGCTAAGCTGGAGAAGAGGAGGCAGTATTAGATTTTAAACAACATATTAAGTAGTTATTATAGTTTTTAGGTCAAAAATTGATTAAAAACTGTGCTTTACTATCGTCCACTGCTTATATCAATCAATTTAATCCTCAATTATTGAATTAGATTGAATTTTTAAGAAAATAAATTGCAAGCTGCTCATCTGCCTTCACAAGTAACCAATTATTTTAATCATTTAGCACCAAATCTCATCAAGACTCACCGAGTATAACAAAAAAAAAACCTTTTTACTATTCAGATCAATTGTGATGCGCTAGGGCGATTCGCAACTAATGAGAGTTTAAAGAGTGACGATGCATCAAACCACTGCACAAGTGTAACAAAGTCTCACCAAATCTCAAGTAGCGCCAAGTCTAACCAATTCTGTTCAAATCTCAAGAAGCATCCAGTTGAATTAATTAAAAAAAATTCTTCTTAACTTTCTTCAAGAATTTCATGAGTCACGTACACGTGCTTTTATATGACTATAAAATACTTCTCATTCTCTTTTGTTTACAAAATTCATATTATCTTATCATAATGTGATGTGACAGACGTCTAGTACGGGAAAGACAATAAGATAAACCCTTGAGCAGAATGTGAAATGAAAATATTTTTCAAGGTTAGAATTTGTTTGAATTTTTTTTGAAAATTTTGATTGAATTATTAAATGGCTATTTAAAAGTATTTAAAAGTCAAAATAACCAACTCATTAATCTGAATCTAATCCTCCAAAAACCTTTATCTAATATTGCGCATAAAAATTCATCCCAAAATAATCTCAAGGGTCTTTACTTTACTTTCTTATTACTCTCAAAACCTCTACTTATATTTCGTCATTTTCATAATTTTACCCAGTTTAGTTTCATACTGGATATTTGATGTATATGCTGTGCGCAGAAAAGAATCTTCATGATGATAAACTTTGAATATACTTTAGGATTTATGGATTATGCAGCATTTGTGGTTATAGTTGCAATTTACTTTATTCTTACGATCTACCTCAATACACGAGTAAACAGTAAAGTCAATAAAAATCTGTCTGCGAGCAACAGTGAATGGAATGTGAAAGCGAAAGATGAAAATTTCTTTTCAGGTGAGTTGTGTTTACATTTTTTTGATACATCCCGCAAGCGAACATGAGGATTAAACAATTTTTTTGTAGTTGCTCTATCAAACATCGTAAAATATTCATCCTGGATGATTTTATTGGGAATATGCAGCGATGCTTATGAGAATGGAATCCAATTTCTCATTTTCTTCTTTGTTGGATCAGCTTTTATGACAATTTTTATGAATTTCATTATAATACCTGTTTTTCACGAGAGTGAAGTCTCGACATTGAGTCAGGTTAGTTAAGTATTTTTGTTTTGTCAGAAATTTTCATTTTCTTATTTATCAACTCTCAAAACGCTATCAAATGAGCATCGAAAATAGCAACAGCTACAAGAGAAAAAAAGCAATAAATGAAGTTTGTTTCTGTTCGATGCTTTCTAATCAAAGTTTTCAAACATTTTGGGTCAGTTTTTTGTTTAAAAGTAATTTTAAGAGCAATTTTGTAAGAAAAATGAAAATATTTTCATCTAAATTTGTTGCTGATTTGAATTCTTTGGAAATTGTTGCTTAAATGAATTTTCTAAAAGTAGAAACAAAAATTCTCGAGTTGTTGCTATACATTTAGTATAAAGCAACGATTGAATTAGAAACACAATCGCCTTGACAATATTTGATTACTTTTCATGACAATTAAAAATAAAAATAATTGGTGTCTCAATTAGGGGCCGTTCACTTATTACGTTATGCAAAAAACTGATTTTTTTAACCCCCCTCCCCCCTTGTTACAACATGTTACAACTCACAACCCCCCCCCCTCCTGAACGTTCATAATTCAAATTTTTTTCGTGAACTTTTTTTTAAAAGACAGACGACAGTTTGAAAGTTACTTACTTCTTGACACCCCCCCCCCCCTCCCTATGTTACATTTTGTTACAATTTTTCAAACCCCCCCTCCCCCCTAAAATGCGAACGTAATAAGTGACAGCCCCTTAGAGAATTGCTGTAAATTTAATATGATTGTTACAAACGACGGTAAGGGTCGTATCCAGAATGTTTTTTTTTTGCTCAGGAATTTTTGAATATTTTTGAGATATGTGGGATAAATTTTATATTTGGGATAGTTTCCACGCCTTGGTCGAGAATGATTTTGTACGCATAAGTTTACATACTAAATATTCAAAAAATCAAAAATAGGAACTAGTATTGACAGTATTGTTATAAATAATAAGTCATTCAGAAACTTTACTAGTCAAAACATTAATTTGGTTAATTAATTTTTATGCTCGATCAATATTCAATTTAAAATAATTGATTCTGTATAATATTTTCTCATTAATAATTCATAAAAGTTTCCTTCTTATTTTTCAGTACTTTGAACAGCGCTTTGATGATATCAAAATAAGAATTTTCAGTTCAGTGACTTCCATTGTCTACCATATCTTTCTAATTTCAATCGTAAGTATCAAAATAATTAATTTTACTTTTTTTTGCCTATAAATATTCATTTCTCTTATTTCTAGTCAATTTACACGCTGACACTTGTGCTGTCTGTTGTAATGAATGTAAATTTCTTCATTCTTGCATCAGTTCTTCTAACAATTTACATTATAATCTTCATTACATGCTATAGGAGAGTTAAAGCCCACACATGGACAAATGTAATCTCAATTTTAATGACTTGCGGCTTTATAGGATTGATTTTAATCAAAAGAGTAATTAACTTTGGTGGCTTTTCGGTTATTTGGAAGATGAATTGGGAGAATGGAAAAATTGGAATGCCAGGGTGAGTTTAAAGGGTGGGATTGCTAGGCTTACTGAGAAAATACCAGCAACCCCTTCCATCCCACAAGTTGTGGTCTGTTCAATGAAACTTTTACTTACTTAAGATAATTATTTTTCAAACAGTTTCAATCTCAATCCACGAATTCGAGAAACAATGTGGAGCCTTATGATTGGTGGCTTCTTTTGGTTCACAGCCCTTAATACTAATGGAAAATCAATAAAGAAATGGATCAAACTTAAAGAAAAAGGAGAATTCAAGAAGAGCATGATAATTTACCTGATTGGAACTTTAATTGTCACAACTCTATGCACATTCCTTGGTATGCTTACTTATGCAGCATTCCAAAATTCCAATAGCATCATGAATAATAAATTACTGACACAATTATTGATGAAAAATTTCAATCAAGCACCAGCTGTGACAGGAATTTTCATTTCAATAATTTTCCTCTCAACATTCAATTACGTGTCGTGCGAATTAAGGACGATAAGAGGAATTGTTAATGAAAATGTAAGAAAAGTTTTTCTCATCGATACTAAGACAATGGATGTCACAATAATGAGGTTGACAGCAATTATTGTGAGCATTTTATCAATTCTTCTCATACCATTATTGGAAAATTCAACATCTTCATTGCTTGAGCTGACTATAAGCATACCTTTCACGTTCATCGGAAGTACGCTTGGAATTCTTATTATCGGTATAATGATACCATGGATAGGAAGACGTGCAACATTTTATGGTTCTGTTATTGCTCTTTTTATGATGATTTATTATGTGATGATGGCAGAAATTGATTTTTCGGAAAGGAAACTCGTGTCAAATTCAACGGAAATTCATATGAAATTAATTGAAAATGATAAGCAACAATTCAATTATATCTCATCATATTACTTTTTCCCATCATCTGTTGTCTTAACTTGTATTAATGCATTTATATTAAGCTTTATATTCGGTTTTGAAAAGTCAATTCACATTAATCCAAAAAACTTTGCGCCATTTATGAGAAATTTCATTTCGCATCATCAAGTAATCGAAAATGGAAGTTCAGACTCAAATTTGATATTAAACGATGAAGAGCATTAAACGAAGATGATAAAAATTGAATATTTTTTCTACTTCATAATCTCGAATTCTTGCTACATAATCTGTCAATAAAATTTTTATAAGATCTAACTTAATAATTAGTTTTAACCACAAAGAACCGAACATAGAATGAGAAACTTTTACATCCACAAAATAGATTTAATTCTCTTTAATATAATATAATTTATCTTTGAGGATTTTGGAAGTTTTTATATTTTTAAGATGCAAGAGAAAAATAAAATTAATGAAAATAGAACTATCGATGGGTGTTGTTTTAATATAATAAACCTTCGAGTTACTTCAAGGGTGTCGTACTGATGAAATGATCAAAAAATGATCAAAAAATGATCAAAATTGATGAAAAATTATCAAAGAGGATCAAAAAGTAATTTACAGAGGTCGAAGCCGACATGAGTTCGCTCCGGTTCGCTAAAAAACCGATTCGATAACCGGTAAATTTGTATAAAATGTTGTACTTCACAAGTGGCAGCAGAAAAAAATCTATTCAAATTTGAATCGGTTTTTTAGCGAACCGGAGCGAACTCATGTCGGCTTCGACCTCTGGTAATTTATTTTTCCGCACCCTTGAGTTATGTAAAAAGCAACAAACTTCCACGCCCTTTTTGCAAACTTCAGATTAATTGGATCTTATTAAATTTCAAAAAAAGATTTCCTTTCATTGTAAGCATGTGTTTTTCAAAGTTGCATGCCCCTTGGACCCAAAATATGATATTAGTTCCATAATTAAGTATGACTATCAGCGGCTTAACCAGGAATTTGAAGAGGGGGGACAAAAAAAGATTTTTTATGGAAAATTCAGAGGGAAGGGATGGATTTTTATGATTTTTTCATAAAACTCTTAGCATGATGAAGAAATTTCTGTTGTACCCCAAATCTCCCCATCTGGTTACGCACCTGATTGACTAAGGAATATCCATGTTAAATTTAAGCTTCATTAAACTTTATCAGGCATTAAAATGAATAAAAACTGCCTTTTAATTTTTTGGATTATTTTTTTTTGGTATTTTTTTAAATTTCTTATTTTTCAAAAATATCATTCCTACCCCAAAACTCAAGAAAATCTAGAAAATCTTTCATTCAATTTATAATCTCTCCTATAGATAAGTTTTTATAGCAACAACAAAAATTAAAAGCAAAAACTCTGCATGGAAATTTTAAATCCTCAACATTGAAGAAATGAATTTAGAAGATGAAGAAAGAGGACAAAGGAAGAAGCCACAAGGCATTAAAATTGTTTATATTGCGGCATATTGAGGCTGAGATTTTATTTGTCGTGGTTGGGGTGAATGGCTTTGTGTAGAGGATATTTTTTGGGTTAAATATTTATGGAAAATTGAAGATTCTATGTAAATTAAGTTTGTTTAATGAGGAGTAATTAAAGTGATTAGATGCTTATCAAAATATTACTAAATATATTAAGATGGGTGCTGTTTGCTATAGCAATAAATAAATTGGTTGATGGAGACGATTCATTAGGATTTAAATTGTAGAATCTGAAGAAAAATCAGCATCTCAAAATCATTGTTAAAATTTAAGTTCAGCCATGAAATGCAAAGTGTCACATTTGATAATGTTCCAATGTTCATGTACTGAGGGTATTTATTGGAAAAGCAGGCAGTGTGAGAAAGCAATTAAGATTCAATAGGTAGAATGATGAGGAGAAAGAAGTTTAATGTTTGGACAAGTTGAAACTGTAATGGATGCTAAAAGGTATTTATTGCTCACACAAATTTTATGGACTTCCGTTATTGAACATTAAAATTTATGTTTTTGGCGAAAAATGTGCGTGAATTGACTGCTTATTGACTAAATTTGTGGTAATAATGTTGAGTAATATGAAGCTTTAAGCGTTGTTTGATTATTGACTTCTGAACGGTTTTGTGGAGCGACTTATTCAGCTTATTGGTGTGAAATATTGAAATAATTTGTTTTGTTCTCAAGGTAATGAATTTTTCACAAGAAAATCCGTGGGCATCGAGCATAAATTTGACTCAATAACTCCATAAAATCGAAAAATGTCTTTAATTATTTATTTTTGGTTCCTAAAATAAGAATTTTCAGGTTAAACTCAAATCTTCTTATTTAAAAAATTCAAGCAAGCATGAACAAAATTACTTCAGGTTTATTGAGCAGCATAGAATCACAAATACCTTCCGATATTGCGGATTATGTGTTCTCATAAACTCAATAAATGCATGAATGAAATTCCATTCGATCCTTTCGCAATTTGCTTGCTCATACGCAGCGTCTAATACTTTATACGTGTTCGAATCAAGCACTTCACTCACATGTGTGCGTCTTCATAATAATATTCATTGTCATCGTCATCATTTCTGAAATAAAAATAGAATAAAGGAGAAAAATATTTTTTTTGATCATTTGAAATGAAATGAAAAGCAGCACAAAAAAGGTTTTTCCACCTTTTCTTCATTTGTCCCTTTTATTTTCTTTTTCAACTCTTTTATTTCCTACATTTGGATGAAGGAAGAGAGATTTTTCAAGTGATATGATTATAAAGATTCAGTCATTCATTTTTCACAATATGTTGATGAAGTTATGAATCTATGTGAGGTGATGATGGGACACAGAGTTGATTAAATGATTTTTGAGTGTTTTACGGAACTTAATTAAGTTTTTAATAGTTTAAAGCATTTTGGAAATTTTAAACTCTCCTCAAAATACCTCAAAAAACACTTTATCTTAGTTCACATCACCTTTCTAAGAAGAATATGCCAACCCATCTCTGCATGCCAAGATGAGAAGAAAGCATAAAGAAGAAATGAGAAATTTTCAGAACAAAAGAAGCGTAAAAGGTTCTGCTCGTCATCATTTTTCACTTCAAAGGGCATGTGACATAAGGAACTATTGTTTAGGACATAATTATAGAGTCAACAAGATTCTTCTTTAGTACTTTGGTTGTTCCAGATACAGCACAAAAAGTTTAACTCATAACATTCAATGGAAAAGCCCTAAGGCACTCGACATTCGATATGACAGTTTTCTGGGCGTGCATTACGAATATCTGACTAATGGAAATTCATATCATAAATACCAAAACCAGATACAGCAACAGATGTTCATTAATATTTTCCATCATCATTTGTTGCTAACTCAAGCGCCGCATACTGATTAAATGTAAATGCTCCAGAAAATTGAATTATAGCAACATCATTAAGCAGGCGATTTTGATTGAAATCAGGATGTGATATGAAGTCATCTAAATTAGCATGTCGACGATTCTGATTAGATTCAATTTGATTGCGGTTATAGACTTCTGCAATTCCTAACAAGGATGTGGTTCCATTATGCTAGCAATCTATTTTCTCAGGCAACTTATTTCATTAGAAGTTTCATTGAAGTTTTCTGAAATATTGGAGTAAAAGCAGCAAATGACTTGTAAATGACATGTCTGGAAAAATACTATTTTGATAACAATGTTTGTCAAATTTTAGGAAGTCATTGAAAAGATTAAATCGCACTTTTAAAAATATCAAACTTATCAAGTCACACTTAAAATCCCTCAATTTTAGTTCAAGATTAGATTGGCTCATTTAAAATTGGTATTTCCAATATAGGTTTTGAAAATTTCCCACAATTTATATTGATTGCCTGATAAGGGCATTGATGAGGTGTTGCTGGAATCCCATTCATAGTTCGTCTTCCAAAACTTGCCAATAATCTCGATTTACCTCATCAAAAAAATTGAGAAAATGATGCCTCAACTACAACAATACTTATAGATAACAGAAGATAAGTAACCCGAGCGACAATTTGTGGCGATGGCAGTTGTGTGATTGCCTCCAAACTGCCTTGCCTTGAACAAGTCGATTTCAAGGCACTGCTTCATACTGCATTGCCTTGTGGCTACCATACGACTGCCACAAAAACAAATTTTTTTCTTCTAAAATTTCTGCCTTGCTAAGGCAGTTACAAGGCTGTCATATGACTGCCACCGATTTCAGCATTGTTGCAACATACTTCACAAGTGCAATCAGAAATGACTAATATAAGTCGAAGAAATGTTTCCATACTTTTCCTAAGATATTTTAAATAATATCTTTTGTGGCATGAAACTTTAACTGATTCGTGCTCCTTTCAAGACTTAAGTCGTGATAAAACTTAAACTTTTGAATCTCATTTTCTTATTAATTATAGTACAAAACCAAATTAGCTAACGAACATTTAATATTCAAAAAATCAAAAATTATAACAGAATTATAACAGATTTTTGCTGCCATAATAACTGCCTTGTAAGCACCACCTCGTCAACACCCAGGCGATTACAAGGCAAGTTGGTCAGAAGTCGGTGGCAGTTTCAAGACAGCCTTGCGCGCGGAAATATGGAGGTCAGGAGTTGCCATCAAGGCGATAAGGCAGTCGTATGGTGATTATTGATTCGCCTTGACTCAAGGCAGTTGGCAGTAGGCAACGACTTATGACCGCCTTATGGCTGCAATGGAGCAGATAAATGTCGCTCGGGTAAACCAGAAAAGCAAAAGACAGAGCCTAAAATACTCTGAAAAGGTTAACTTTTTAGCAATTAATCCACCCAATAAAAATTTCATATCTTAATTTTTTTGATAAAGCAAATTGATAACAATTTTATTTCATTTTACAAAAAAACAGATGTTAAGCTTATGTCAGGCTACGATACGTTGTTTCACAAAATCAATAGAATTTATGGCATAACTGAAAGAACCCATGGATAGAATGTTGAGACACGAGCATATCCGTCAGGGAATCCACGTTCGCATCCTTGTGGACTTCCAAATGAAACAACACCAACTTGAATAGAGTTCAAGCTTCCATCACGGATAGTAAGTGGGCCACCTGAATCTCCATTGCAGACTGAATTATTAATATCTGGTGTTCCAACGGCACAAATGGTTGAATCGACAACTATAAGTGGGAATGATTGAGCGCAAACTGCATTTGTGATGACTGTCTTAACTGTGAATAAGACAACTTCTGATGTAAGCTGATTGCTATCACTAATACGTCCAAAACCTGATAATTAAAGCAATAAAATTTTAGGAATTGATAAGATTGTCTAGACTAGAAAAAAATGTTGTCAATAGTTTAAAGCGTCTAGCTTGTAACTTACCAGAAACATGTACACTTGCACCAACATGTCTATTACTATCGTCACTTGCCATAACAACAGGTTGAACGAATTCATTGAATGTGTATGCTTGAGTGAATCTAAGGACGGCAATATCATTGACTAAACGAAGTGGACCATAGTTTGGATGTGGAATGAAATCAGTTGGTGGAACAGTGCGACGTTGTTGATTTGGTTCAAGCAGATTACGATTATAAGCTCCAGCAATAATCAAGAAGTTAAGGACTCCAGTAACGGTACAGTGAGCAGCTGTAAGGACTGCATTTTGACTGATAACTGATCCACCACATAAGCCAGTTCCTGATGCTGAGTTCATCAAAAGTGCAACCTAGATAAAATTCAAATTTATGAAAAATCTGAAAATTTGCTCTTTACTTCGACATGCTTTACCTGATAGGGAAATTGATGAGGTGCAGCTGGTTGGCCATTTACAATTCTCCTGTCTCTTGGTACAGGTGCTTTATTTTCACTAACATAGTCGTTAAGAAGTTGATGCATTGGTCTTACTTGTGACCAATCAACTTCATCATTAGCTGATGCAAGAGCAACAAGAACTGCCAAAATAAATAACTTCATCTTTGTTTCAGAGAAGCTTGAATCACTATGAAGAGTTTTAATATTTTTGGACTCATTTTATGAATGAATGGATTTTTTTAATCAATTGATATTTTATCTTTAAAAGTTGATACGAAATAAATAAGATAAAGTTAAGCACTTAAGATTACAGTTTTGGCAGTGTCCCTTGTAAGAAACTAGGCAGATTTCCCGCGTGTAATTCCAGTAAATTCTTAAAGAAATTGTTTATGACATTAGAAATTGACCTTTTAAGTTATTTTAGTTCTAAGCCCTCCTTCTATGATTAAATGGCACATCTTCAGCCTTGTTTTCGAAACATATTCTGTTCAATCAATTGCGACACTTTAGATCCGCCTTTATTTCAAATATTAGACGTCATAGCCAAATATATATTTATCATTTTAGAGTGCGCCCGAGCGACATTCAACAGCCTTATTGCAGCCATTCGACGGTCACAAGGCAGTGCCTACTGCCAACTGCCTTGAGTCAAGGCGAATCAATAATCACCATACGACTGCCTTATCGCCTTGATGACAACTCCTGACCTCCATATTTCCGCGCGCAAGGCTTTCTTGAAACTGCCACCGACTTCTGACTGACTTGCCTTGTAATCGCCTAGATGTTGACGAGGTGGTGCTTACAAGGCAGTTATTATGGCAGCAAAAGACTGTTATAATTCTGTTATAATTTTTGATTTTTTTGAAAATTAAATGCTCGTTAGCTCATTTGGTTTTGTACTATAATTAATAAGGAAATGAGATTCAAAAGTTTGTCTTATCGCGACTTAAGTCTTGATAGGAGCGCGAATCAGTGAAAGTGCCATGCCACAAAAGATATTATTTAAAATATCTTAAGAAAAGTATGGAAACATTTCTTCGACTTATATTAGTCATTTCTGATTTTACTTGTGAAGTATGTTGCGACAATGCTGAAATGGGTGGCAGTCATATGACAGCCTTGTAACTGCCTGAGCAAGGCAGAAATTTTAGAAAAAAACATTTGTTTTGGTGGCAGTCGTATGGTAGCCACAAGGCAATGTAGTATTCAAGGCAGTGCCTTGAAATCGACTTGTTCAAGGCAAGGCAGTTTGGAGGCAATCACACAACTGCCATCGCCACAAATTGTCGCTCGGGGCGTTGATCTCATAAGTTTGTGACGATGGATGACGGTAGATCAATTATCTGTATTTTTAAAATTTTCTCTCTTGAAATGACGAATGTTTTTAAGTCACATTGACGTTATGATAATTAATTTACAAGGCTTGGAAACTCAGGATTAATCCTGAAAAATCCCGAAAATCCTAAAAAATATCTTTCATCCAATAAACATGGAAATGTGAAATCCCTTTTAAATCCCTAATGCATTTGATGAATAACTTTGGGATTTAAAAGGGATTTCGCATTTTCATGTTTATTGGCTCAGGGATTCTTTAAGATTTTTGGATTGTTTAAGGATTAATCCTGAGTTTCCACGCCTTGTTAATTAATTATCATAACGTCAATGTGACTTAAAAAAATTCGTCATTTTCTAGGGATTCTTTAAGATTTTTGGATTGTTTAAGGATTAATCCTGAGTTTCCACGCCTTGTTAATTTTTGAGCAATAAGTTCTTTTGACTTTTACGTCACAATTGCATGTCAATATCAGCACAGTAACTTAACAATCATATTATTCTGAAGATGTTGTGCTTAGCAATTCTGAAATTAATATAGCCAATGTTAAAACTTCATGGTAATTATCCTTCAGTTTTGTTATATTTGATACATGCTACTGAATAAAATAAATAGAATTTCTTGTTGATCTTGTCTTACACATCTTCTTTAAATAATAATCTTTGACTGTTCTTTGGCTTGTTTGCTCTCAAAAACAAATTTTTAGAGCACCTTATATTATTATTTAATTTGGTCTGAAGAATCATGTCTAATTGATGAATCACTTAAAATTTATTTAAGTTTTAAAAAAAAAGTTTTTAAGCTTAACATTAAACCAAAAATTATTTTCGCTGATCGTAATTTGTGATTGACCCAAAAACTTATATGATAATTCAACTATCTTCAGGCACTTACTCTTTCTCAATTTTGCCAATAATTCATGGTCACATTTCAATGTTCAAACAGTCCTTGAGTAATTTTGAGATGAATGAATATTTCAAGAGTATATTTTATAATTTCTCGCAGATTTAAATTTGAAAAAATTTATTTTCAGTCAGTCTTATTTTGTTCGTCGAAATAGAAAGATATAAAATGGAGATGGAAACAAAGGATGTGATCGAAAGAAAATACGAAATTAAAGTTGTTTGGCCTATGGTGCTGCTAGCTTCTCTTATTGTTGCTGGAATATTAACAGGATTTTATTGCATGCTTTTTGAAAATGTTAGTGGAGCCACCTACATATGGAGTGAGTGTTTAAGAGCTGGTGTTATTGGGTCTTGCAGGCTCGAATGTCACAAGTTGGTTAATCGAATGTGACTCCAGCATGGTGCTGGATTTATATCGAAGTCAGCACCATGTCAGAGTAATGCCATAAACTTATGCTTTTCGGGAGGGGCTAGCATTCATTGAAAAAATCTGTGTAATGTTAGTAAGCCTGGATTCTACTTGGCACTTCCCTCGCTACGCACATGCAGCATTTTAAAACGTGAATTTCAAGCATACATTTCTTATTTGCTAATTCAATTCGCATCTATTCAACATGTTTGAATCACACAGTCCAAAAATGAAAATCACATTCGGTCACAAATATTTTGTGAACTTGTCTAACCTCACGCGTTATCAAATTTAAATGCTATAGAAACAAGCAAAGTGTAAATGATTTGATAAGCAGTTCTTTTCGTTTAAAAAAATTAGAAAGTAGAAAATCAAAATTACGTAAACATCTTAAAATCAGTTGAATAGCCTTTACAAACTTGATAAGAGCGATGTTTACAAACAAACGGTTTCAGTCAATTATGATGCTGGTCGTCACAATTAGGTTTAGCTTGTTAATTAAAATATAAGAGAGGGTTGATGTGGGAGAATGGCATGTTCAAGTATTTCTAGAATAAAAAACCTTTTAAGAACCCACACGGAGTTCAATGTAACGCTAGCGATTTCAAACTAATCCAAACCATTTCTTTAAACTCTTTCAGCAATTATTGTGTTTTTGCTCGGAGGCATTGGCATCGGACCCGGCGCACACCGCTACTTTTGTCATCGTTCCTATAAAACTAGTCGTGGGGTGAAAGTATTTATGATTATTTGTCAACAAATTTCAGGATTGGTATAAAATTAAATAACGAAACTTAAATCTTAAAATAATTCAGCAATTCTTATTTTTAGAAATCCTTGCATAGCTGGTGTAGAATCCATAGAACTCATCATAAATTTTCCGACACTGACAGAGACCCAACAAATATAAATCGAGGATTTTTCTTCTCGTTTGTTGGATGGCTTTTAATCAGGCGCACTCCTGAATGTAAAGCAGAAATGAATAGAATTTTTATGGATGATTTAAAGGCTGACAGTGATCTGGTCTTCCAATTTAAGTGAGAAATAATCCAAATTTTTAATTAAGCTTTAAATAATCAATTTTCTTGTAGATATTACCCAATACTTTACATGACAATAACACTCGGACTTCCAATATTTATTCCTTATTATTTCTGGAACGAGTCAATTTTAATTGGATTTGGAATGAACATGTTTAGGTATGGACTCAACATTTTTCAGCAATTTGTAGGAAACAGCCTGCTCCACATGAATGGAAGAAAACCATATGACAAATCATTTTCAGCTATCGACAATGCTTTATACAACATAATAACACTTGGTGAAGGATACCACAATTTTCATCATGCATTTCCATTCGACTATCGCAGCAATGAACTCTTTGAGTTTTCACATTTGGCATCATTAACCAATCTTTATATTGATGTAATGGCTGCTTTAGGGTTAATTTATGACAGAAAATTTGCACCACCTCATATGATTGCTAGGAGGGTGGCAAGAACTGGAGATAGAAGTCATATTTTGTCGAAATTAAATTCAAAAGACAATACACTTTGGGGTTATGGAGATCCTGATATGCATCCTGATGAAAAACGAGATTTGGAACATGTGGAAACTTCAGAAAAAATTGTGAACCTTCAAAGTATTACAGCAGTAATTAAGAAATATAGGATATAGTGAGTGTTTTGACTTATTGGGTTAATATTTAATCTTCAGCAGTAATTTAATTGAATAAGGAGCTTATGAATATTATCAAACAAAGACTAATTTTTTAATAATTGTATTTTAGTATTAAATAAAATTTACGGATTTTAATCATGTTTTTGTTTTTTGGGCAACAAAAAGTTTATGTTGATATTTTGGTGGTTTAAATTTTATTTTTAAGTCTTTTTTATCCCTTAACCAGAGGTCTTGTCCTATCACAGCGTAAAAGAAACTAAGCTCTTCGAGCTTGTCTGATGGTTTCTTTCATCTTCCTTAACTGAAGTAAATTTTAAAGTTTTCAATTCTTAATTGACATTGCAGATCTCCCCATAACAGCTGCATGTGTGTATACTAATGTAAAACAAGTCGGGTTCAATGGGAATCGAACCCACGATCTCAGAAATGGCGATATAAGACCATTCGATCAGAGATCCCTGTCACTCGTCCATAGAGGTGCTTATCTCACTTCAACTATTCTTCATACACATATAACCAGTTTCAACGCGAGCCCTATGCTCAGGCCTTTTTACTACATGTATGCTATTCGTCCCATATCCACAGACATGTCAATGAACTTTTTCAACTACAAACTTTAAAACATAACAAATTAGCAATAACACAGTGATATAAGAGATTATTCGAGCTTAATCAAACTGGTTTTTGCTAAACAATTCCAATGTCAAATTTACTATTTATCTTTTTTGTATTGCTTTTTATTGACAATTGCTCATAGTGATTATTTAAAATTTAAGTGAATTAAGAAAAAAAAATTGAACGTTTTCTTTTTATTAAAACTTTTGCTGAAATATCTCAAAAAAATAATCATTTGTGCTTTGCTCATATGTTTTGTAATCGTATCGATATTATTATAGTTTTTTTAAAATTGTTGAAGCATGACAACAGATCGTTAACTTATAAGTAGACGTGTAGTACGGCCGAGACCCATATCGACACAGTTCAAACTTTATACCTAATTTATGTCATACTTATGTCAGCTACAAAAACACTTAGTTTGAATTTTGTCACCCTCGGGAACACTATGAACCAGTATAGCTGATTTTGGTCCAAATCTCGCCAAACTTCACACTTCTTTGAATCACATTTTCTCGTAAATGTTAAAATATTATTAAAAAGTAATTAATCCTGAATTAAGGGGCGACCCTAGTCAAAATCAATTTTACTACTTTTTTCTTTGAGGGTTTATCCAAATGGATTGAAACGTTGCATAAATATTCAAGCGCTTAAAACAAATAATAAAACATCCTAAATTTTTTTGAGCATAGAACCAAGTAAGAAATACATTTTCAATTTTGGACTAGGGGCGACCCTAGTCAAAACCAATTTTGTCACTTTTTTCTTCGAGGGTTTATCCAAATGGATAGAAACTTTGCATAAATATTCTAGTGCTTAAAACAAATACAAATAAAACATCCTAAATTTTTTTGAGCATAGAGCCAAGTAGGAAATACATTTTCAATTTTGGATTTGGGGCGACCCTAGTCAAAATCAATTTTGTCACTTTTCTCTTCGAGGGTTTATCCAAATGGATTGAAACTTTGCATGAATATTTCAGTGCTTAAAACAAATACAAATAAAACATCTTAAAATTTTTCTGAGCAAAGAACCAAGGAGGAAATACATTTTCAATTTTGGACTAGGGGCGACCCTAGTCAAAATCAATTTTGTCACTTTTTTCTTTGAGGGATAGTCCAAATGGATTGAAACTTTGCATAAATATTCAAGAGCTTAAAACAAATACAAATAAAACATTTTAAATTTTTTGAGCATAGAACCAAGTAGGAAATACATTTTCAATTTTGGACTAGGGGCGACCCTAGTCAAAATCAATTTTGTCACTTTTTTCTTTGAGGGATAGTCCAAATGGATTGAAACTTTGCATAAATATTCAAGAGCTTAAAACAAATACAAATAAAACATTTTAAATTTTTTGAGCATAGAACCAAGTAGGAAATACATTTTCAATTTTGGACTAGGGGCGACCCTAGTCAAAATCAATTTTGTCACTTTTTTCTTCGAGGGTTTATCCAAATGGATTGAAACTTTGCATAAATATTCTAGTGCTTAAAACAAATACAAATAAAACATCCTAAAATTTTTTTGAGCAAACAACCAAGTAGGAAATACATTTTCAATTATGAACTTGGGACAGGCCTAGTTAAAATCTAGTTTTTCACTTTTTTTCTTCGAGGATAAATCCAAATACAGTGAAACTTTGTATGAGTATTTTAATACTCAGGTCACACATTTCTGAATTAATAAAAATCAATTTTTTGGACAAAATTTTAAGTCACGTTGTTTTTGAATGTACAACCAAATTTTAAAAATTTGGGTCTGGCGACATATAGAGCACATTTCTTGTATTAGATATTTAAAACTATTTTGTATATATATTAATATACTCACACAAAGTTTCACTGTAATTGGATAAATCTTCGAAGAAAAAAATGTAAAAAACTAGATTTTGTCCCTAGTTCATAATTGAAAATGTATTTCCTACTTCGTTCTTTGCTCAAAAAAATTTTAAGATAATTTATTTGTATTTGTTTTAAGCACTAGAATATTTATGCAAAGTTTCAATCCATTTGGATAAACTCTCGAAGAAAAAAGTGAGAAAATTGATTTTGACTAGGGTCGCCCCTAGTCCAAAATTAAAAATGTATTTCCTCCTTGGTTCTTTGCTCAAAAAAAATTTTAAGATGTTTTATTTGCATTTGTTTTAAGCACTAGAATATTTATGCAAAGTTTCAATCCATTTGTATAAACCCTCGAAAAAAAAAGTGACAAAAATGATTTTGACTAGGGTCGCCCCTAGTCTAAAATTGAAATTGTATTTCCTTCTTGGTTCTTTGCTCAAAAAAAATTTTAGGATGTTTTATTTGTATTTGTTTTAAGCACTAGAATATTTATGCAAAGTTTCAATTCATTTGGATAAACCCTCGAAGAAAAAAGTGACAAAATTGATTTTGACTAGGGTCGCCCTAGTCCAAAATTGAAAATGTATTTCCTACTTGGTTCTTTGCTCAAAAAAAATTTTAGGATGTTTTATTTGTATTTGTTTTAAGCGCTTGAATATTTATGCAAAGTTTCAATTCATTTGGATAAACCCTCGAAGAAAAAAGTGACAAAATTGATTTTGACTAGGGTCACCCCTAGTCTAAAATTGAAAATGTATTTCCTCCTTGGTTCTTTGCTCAAAAAAATTTTAAGATGTTTTATTTCCTACTTGTTTTAAGCATTAGAATATTTATGCAAAGTTTCAATTCATTTGGATAAACCCTCGAAGAAAAAAGTGACAAAATTGATTTTGACTAGGGGCCCTAGTCCAAAATTGAAAATGTATTTCCTACTTGGTTCTTTGCTCAAAAAAAATTTTAGGATGTTTTATTTGTATTTGTTTTAAGCGCTTGAATATTTATGCAAAGTTTCAATTCATTTGGATAAACCCTCGAAGAAAAAAGTGACAAAATTGATTTTGACTAGGGTCACCCCTAGTCTAAAATTGAAAATGTATTTCTTTCTTGGTTCTTTGCTCAAAAAAATTTTTAAATGTTTTATTTGTATTTGTTTTAAGCACTTGAATATTTATGCAAAGTTTCAATCCATTTGGATAAACCCTCGAAGAAAAAAGTGACAATATTGATTTTGACTAGGGTCGCCCCTAGTCCAAAATTGAAAATGTATTTCCTACCTTGGTTCTTTGCTCAAAAAAATTTTAAGATGTTTTATTTGTATTTGTTTTAAGCACTTGAATATTTATGCAAAGTTTCAATCCATTTGGAAAAACCCTCGAAGAAAAAAGTGACAAAATTGATTTTGACTAGGGTCGCCCCTAGTCCAAAATTGAAAATGTATTTCCTACTTGGTTCTTTGCTCAAAAAAAATTTTAGGATGTTTAATTTGTATTTGTTTTAAGCACTAGAATATTTATGCAAAGTTTCAATTCATTTGGATAAACCCTCGAAGAAAAAAGTGACAAAATTGATTTTGACTAGGGTCGCCCCTAGTCCAAAATTGAAAATGTATTTCCTACTTGGTTCTTTGCTCAAAAAAAATTTTAGGATGTTTTATTTGTATTTGTTTTAAGCACTTGAATATTTATGCAAAGTTTCAATTCATTTGGATAAACCCTCGAAGAAAAAAGTGACAAAATTGATTTTGCCTAGGGTCGCCCTAGTCCAAAATTGAAAATGTATTTCCTACTTGGTTCTTTGCTCAAAAAAAAATTTAAGATGTTTTATTTGAATTTGTTTTAAGCACTAGAATATTTATGCAAAGTTTCAATCCATTTGTAAAAACCCTCGAAGAAAAAAGTGACAAAATTGATTTTGACTAGGGGCCCTAGTCCAAAATTGAAAATGTATTTCCTACTTGGTTCTTTGCTCAAAAAAAATTTTAGGATGTTTTATTTGTATTTGTTTTAAGCGCTTGAATATTTATGCAAAGTTTCAATTCATTTGGATAAACCCTCGAAGAAAAAAGTGACAAAATTGATTTTGACTAGGGTCACCCCTAGTCTAAAATTGAAAATGTATTTCCTCCTTGGTTCTTTGCTCAAAAAAATTTTAAGATGTTTTATTTCCTACTTGTTTTAAGCATTAGAATATTTATGCAAAGTTTCAATTCATTTGGATAAACCCTCGAAGAAAAAAGTGACAAAATTGATTTTGACTAGGGTCGCCCCTAGTCCAAAATTGAAAATGTATTTCCTCCTTGGTTCTTTGCTCAAATAAATTTTAAGATGTTTTATTCGTATTTGTTTTAAGCATTAAAATATTAATGCAAAGTTTCAATTCATTTGGATAAACCCTCGAAGAAAAAAGTGACAAAATTGATTTTGACTAGGGTCGCCCTAGTCCAAAATTGAAAATGTATTTCCTACTTGGTTCTTTGCTCAAAAAAAATTTTAGGATGTTTTATTTGTATTTGTTTTAAGCGTTTGAATATTTATGCAAAGTTTCAATTCATTTGGATAAACCCTCGAAGAAAAAAGTGACAAAATTGATTTTGACTAGGGTCGCCCCTAGTCCAAAATTGAAAATGTATTTCCTACTTGGTTCTTTGCTCAAAAAAAATTTTAGGATGTTTTATTTGTATTTGTTTTAAGCACTAAAATATTTATGCAAAGTTTAAATTCATTTGGATAAACCCTCGAAGAAAAAAGTGACAAAATTGATTTTGACTATGGTCGCCCCTAGTCCAAAATTGAAAATGTATTTCCTCCTTGTCTTTGCTCAAATAAATTTTAAGATGTTTTATTTGTATTTGTTTTAAGCATTAAAATATTAATGCAAAGTTTCAATTCGTTTGGATAAACCCTCGAAGAAAAAAGTGACAAAATTGATTTTGACTAGGGTCGCCCTAGTCCAAAATTGAAAATGTATTTCCTACTTGGTTCTTTGCTCAAAAAAAAATTTAAGATGTTTTATTTGTATTTGTTTTAAGCACTAGAATATTTATGCAAAGTTTCAATCCATTTGTATAAACCCTCGAAGAAAAAAGTGACAAAATTGATTTTGACTAGGGTCGCCCCTAGTCCAAAATTGAAAATGTATTTCCTCCTTGGTTCTTTGCTCAAAAAAATTTTGAGATGTTTTATTTGTATTTGTTTTAAGCATTAGAATATTTCTGCAAAGTTTCAATTCATTTGGATAAACCCTCGAAGAAAAAAGTGACAAAATTGATTTTGACTAAGTTCGCCCCTAGTCCAAAATTGGGAATTGATTTTCTATGGTGTACTTTGGTCAAAAAAATTTTTTGGATGTTTTATTTGAATTGACATAATTCTGACATAAATCACATACCAATATTACTTTTTTAATGCATAGCTTAAAAAAAATCGAAATCTAAAATTTCGACTACCCCATCTGAATTTTGTTCATACTCTTCACTGTGGAAATCATAAAAAAATTCTTTATCTTAAAATACTTGACAAAATAGCGACATAATTCAGGATTAATTACTTTTTAATAATATTTAAACATTTACGAGAAAATGTAATTCAAATAAGTGTGAAGTATGGCCGAGATTTGGACCAAAATCAGCTATACTGGTTCATAGTGTTCCCGAGGGTGACAAAATTCAAACTAAGTGTTTTTGTAGCTGACATAATTATGACATAAATTAGGGATAACTTTTGAACTGTGTCGATATGGGTCTCGGCCGTACTTCACGCCCACAACGTATAAGACTTGTCACAAAACTTAAAAAAAATTTGTGCAGACTTATAATACCTCAAATTCTTAGTCTTCTCTGCATTTAATGATAATGGAATTTTAAAACTTAAAATTCAAAACAACTCGAATCTCAATATTTGGAATTTAATAAATTATTCTTTGATTTTTTATTGATATTTTCTTAAAAATTATCTTAAACTATGAAAAACCTATGAAATAAAAACATTTCTAATGACGATAACTTAAAATATTAACCTCTTAATTATAATTCTTAAAAATAATCTTAGCCATTGCTCTATCACTTTTACTTTGATCAGGATCTGCCCATCCCCAAATGTTTGTCTCAGTTCCATCACCCGTTCTCTTTTTTCTTGTGTCAATGGTTTCTTTATTGACAGTCTTCAAGTCATACGCCCATCCAATTTTTGCCATAAAATTGATAAACATTGTTGTTAAATTTAATCGATAATTACCAAGTTCTGCCGTCTGTAAAATTAAAGCTATTATTATGACTGATTTATGACACCCTTCATATAATTTTATTACTTTATAGTCCCATGGGAAAATATGATGATAATTATGCCAACCTAAGATGTTAAACATTAAAATTTGTTTCCTGTACATTAAGCTCATGTATAGCATAAATTATATCAACTTACCTTCTCCAAGTGCTATTATTGAAACGAAAACATTTTGTGATGCTAATATTGACCTAATTTGAATTTAAATAAATAAATTTATAATATGAATAAATAGTCGTTGCGGTTACCACTTACTTATCATAAGGCTTATGACCCCAAATGTGTGCAACACTATTGACACACCATGTGATATTCAGTACGGCAACATACCGTAGACATGTTGGTATGAGCCAAGCATTTAATAAAGTTTCGTTCCAAAAATAGTATGGTATGTAAGTAGGTAGAATGAAGCAGAACAATGCAAACATCCACAAACCATGTTTCCGCTGGAACATTACGAAAGCATCATTTTCCAAGTCCGAAAAGTCAACTCGCTTTCCAGCTGTAATCATAAGAGGATGCCTTTTTGTCAGTAACCATCCACAATGGGAGAAAAAGAAACCTCTCGTTGCATTGTGCGGATCTGCATCTGTGTCGCTAAATTTATGATGTACACGATGATCACGGCACCAATGATAAAGTGAATTTTGGAATGCAATTGTATTGAAAATAATCAACGTTAATTTCAGTTGCCATTTTGCTTTATATGCACGATGACTCCATAGACGATGAGCGCCTGCTGTTATACCCAAACCACTGACTATGTACAATAGATAAGCTGTTAAGATAATGAGAAATAATTTTTCTATTTAGTGATTTTGCTTGTGACTATAAACTTATTGCAATTTGCTGCATGGTTGGTTTCTTTATGAGTGTTTTTTTTTTGCATAGAGTTGGCACATTCTGATTAATTTCATGTTTAATGGATTTTAGCACTGCTTTAAAATCACAAACTTCAAAGAAAAATTTACACCAGTGGTTCTCAAACTTTTATTCGAGAAAATCTTATTTTTTTAATAGTTTTAGCTACTGTGACTGTGTAAATTTGAGTAGAACTAATTTGATCTTAATATGCGCTCTAGCACTTCATCCTTGAACTTGTGTAGTCCATACAAATTTTAATTAATTCATTTTCTGCTTTTTAACACATGAATTTTAATTATTTTAAGTACCGAAAAATAACGTTTGCCACTTCGCATGTCCTGTTATTGCTAAATATGCACCATAAATTGCTTGAACATGCAGAGAACCTATCGTGAGCATATTAAACCACTTGTATTCAAATATTCTCTTATCCGCAATTTTTCTCAGTGGTTTTTTTAATCCACAATTCTCGGCTGCTGCTTCTGCTTCATTCTCGTATAAAATACCATTTTCATACACAATACTCTCGTTTTTTGATGATTCTAGAAGTGCCATTTGTTGTTAACACTTTGATAACACGATTAAAAATGAACAATAAATAATTGAATTAAGTGTTTTAAATATTCTTTTGAGTTACTTATTAAAGTTAATCGATTCTGTTCCTTTGTCATACAATTTGTAAGCTGACAGGTCAATCATGTGGATTAAATGTTAATCAAATTGTTATTTTGTTTTTGAGTGATTGTAAAACTATCACTGCACGTTTACTTTTGAACTTAGTCTAAAAATTGATATAAATAGAAGTCAGCGAACTTAATATTTAATTCTGTGATTTTACTGACGCTTGGAATTTACAGATGGTTTATTATGTTCTTTTTTAATTAATAAAATTTTACACGTTTTTTTTGGAGCTGCATGCACAACGATAAGCTTCACGTGACATGTAAAATATTAAGTAAATTGTTATTGCTGTGCAGTACAAAACGACATTTTAATATGAATTAATTGAGCAAACAAATAAACAAACAAAAAAATTGTGAATTTTTGATGAGCTTTATTTAAATAAGTGAAATTATGGCATGAGTCGGGACGTTGCCATGAAGGCGGGACGGGTCGTTTTAAGGTTGAAATTTCAACCTTTAAAGATAATGTTTCAACATTTTAAAAAAGTTATTTAAGTATTTAAAAAAAATTTCAAACCCACTCCCCAAACTTTGGGGGTCCACAAAAAAAATTCAACAATAACCCCTCGAATGCCTAAGATTCCACCCCTGTACATAAGGTATAAATAGAATTTTTATATCTAAAATAAAATAAGCATCGTCAAGCAACTGAAGAAGATTTAATTTTGAAAAGTTTGAATCTAATTTTGGTTGAAAATGTACAAAGTTAATGACATCCAGTAAATATTCAAACCCACAATAAATTTAAAATACAGAAAATATGAATCATAAAATAAACTTCTAAAAATAACCACAATCCTAGTGACATTTTATATCTCTTACCAACTTTTAATTAAACAGCAAATTTTATTAAAATTATATAAATCAAGTTTTACATTATTTGACGATTCTACATCCACCCATACTTTATTAACAACCATAGAAACAGTCAAAAACTACAACAAAAAAAAACCCTTCAAACTTTTATATTTTCTCCTTATTTTAAGTGCACTTAGTTACTTCAAGCTGAAAAATATAAAAATCACTCAATCCTCAAAATAATAATCTTCCCATTTTAATTACAATCTTCATTTCATTAATTTTATTCATCAGCAAACCCTCGAGTTACATAATATTCTACATCCATTCATGCTGAGAATATGTATATAAATACAGAAAGCATCTCTGAATGTTAAATATGAAAAATACAAAACCAAATATTGCTGTAGATAAAAGCAATAAAATCATGGAGAAATCTTGTTTTTTGGAATGGGAAAAAGAATTTTTTGGTTTTAATTTTTCGCACAAAATCTGTTTTTATGGGTACATGGGAAAATGAGCACATAAGACTCATTTTTAATGGAGAATTATAGACTAGTAAGGGTGGAAATGCCTTTGGTTGGTTAAAGCGCAATTCTGGTTTGAGCGAGGCATTTGATTAACGATGGATGTTATTAATATCAGGTTTTATTAACATCAGCCGATTAATAACAGGCTAGCCGATAAAAATGGCAGACAAACTGTTAAAAACTAGTCGAGTCTATCCAAAAAATAAGAAAACTTCACTCATCGTCTTTTTATTAGATTTGTAAAAACCAAAAATGAAAAAGAGATTTTTTTAATGATGAAGCCACAAAAAAACATCAAATTTTTGCTGTTGCTTGCTATTTCCATTTTAGAATTTTACATATCTTCATGTGCTAACGTTGCCAAACAGCATAAAAGCAGATAAATTCTTTCTCGAACATAAAACAACAAGAAATGATGCTACTATTGTTGATGATGATGAGATTTTTTCATATGTTCGACGAGCGCGTATGCCATAAAAGCCACGATATCCACAAAAAAAAATTTAAAGCATTTTCGTTGTCATGTCTCACTTTTTAGTGCTAAAGCTATTTATTTGGAACATTTCTTTTTTGCATTTATATCTAAGTTACTAAAAAATGGAGGTGGATGTGTATGTGTTAAGGAAGTGAGAAGAAGAATAAAGGCAAATTGCATTTTTATGATCTTCTGTGTCATACAATTTTTTGACTAACCTTTCAACCTTCTGTTTAACTGTGATATTCATCCATCATACAAATTACACTTTTATGTTCATTCTTCCTTCCAAGCATCCATGCTCTTTGCCTCTGTGTGATTTTTTTTATTGACATAAGAACGGGATGTTTTGAATGGATATTGATGGTTTGTCTTAATGTCTATCTGATGATGATGCTGTGTTTTTACGAAACGTTGAATCTAATGCAATTTCTCCTTGAAGCCGCAAGCTTATTGCATTGATTGTATGAGTGTTGTCCAAACTTTTTCTAGCCACGTAACACTTTGACTTTAAATCTTTTTTCAAGGCAAAACTAAGGATGTCCTACGGCACTCCAGTGTACCACGGCACACAGTTTAGACAACACTGGATTATATTGTACTTGTGTTAGGTTTTCTAGGCAGAATAGGAGCTGGGAATGTTTGGGAGTCAAAAATATATGGCTTTGCTGCTGCTTCCAATCCTGCCTTAGCAAAAAACCATTTAACGCTGTTCTTTTGATGCAATTTGTTGCTCCAAATTTTCGTTCCTAATTTTCAGGCCCAAGACAGAAAATCAGGCAAAAATGCGCCAAAAAAACCTTAATTCCATAAAAAATTATTTTATTAACATTTATCATAAATTCTTTATGCATGTATTTGTAAATGTGCTTTTTGCCACAAGCATGTACGATTCGCACACATAAAGTGTCTTCAAAAAAAGCTAAACGTTGAATTCGTAAAGTGGCAAAATGTGATTTGAATATTTTTTCTTTCTCTCTTCTGTAACAACAACCTAACGACACAATTTTCATATGAGTTATTCACATAAAAAAATTTTTTTTGTGGAAGTAAAGAAGAGAAGAAAAAAAGTTCCATAAATGACTTCATTAATCATGCGGGCCATTTCCAACAAGCACTTTATATACGTCTATATACGAATTTGCATAATATAAATTTAAGAGAAGAGATCAAAGGTTCCGTTCGAAGACTAAAGTCGGGAGAAAAAAATTCTTTTTGGAGCTTGTATCTTCATCTTATTCGAAAAAAGAAAATATGGAAAAGTTTATGTTGCAATTTATGGGAAAAATTTTATTTCATAAACTTGAGCCTTTTAAAATATGTCAAGTATAGGAAACTCTTTGAGATATATTTTGATTTTATTTTCACTTCTTTTATGTTTTTCTTTTAAGGAAAAAAATGTTCAAAGCGCCCCTTATTAAGGATATCTGAAATTGCTACGTATTTCTATAAGCAGCAGTAATGGTAATGATGCTAATAACAATAATAGAAGCAAATGATCCCTTTTTTCCATACGCTTTCCCAATTTCCTCGTTCGATACTTTTTGGCATTTTAGTTAACAATGTGTTGCGTAATTTGGTCTTGATTTGTAAAAGGATTTGCAACGCATTTTTGGCACTGATTTTGAAGTCGAAAAATGATGTGATGAGCTGAAATTTGGAGGGATCGTCCATCAAAAATGGGATATTTAAGACACTCAACTTTTTTTTTTGTGACAAAGATTTTTATAAGAACAATCACAGAACTTCCACTTTCCAAAAGAAATGACATTAGTTTAAAATTAGTAGCTTCTATAAAGTTGATTTTAAGAACTCTCAAATTGCTTCAAATTATATTCTGATTTTTTAATAAGCATCAAATTTCTAATTTAACCATCCAATTTAATTTTTAAAAACCCCTCAAAACTTTATGGCAATAACTTTTAAGAATTAAATAATCATTTTATTTTAGACTAATTTCCTGATAAAGGTCTGATACCAAATCGAGGACTTTTATCCTTTTATAAACACACACATACCATAATCTTCCATAAAATCTAATTTAAAAGATTTTATCAAACAGAAAATTCAAAGAAGAAGCAAAACTTAAAATTTTCTGTTTCACACAGCAGCAATCAAGCAAGACAATTTGAGGGAATGGAAGAAGAAAAATCGAAAAAAGGGGTCGAAGATGAAGGAAAAATCACACACACAAGCACAATTTTGAATGCTCTAAGGAGTAGTTTTTTCTAATAAGATTAATTTCTTAAATCAACAAAAACGAAAAGCGTAGGTCAACCGAAAAACTTGAAACTTCTCGAATTGTTCTCCCTTAAAAGTTCCTACTAAATAGTCATTAATGTAAAATGATACAAAATTTAATTTTGAGTTCCTTAGAAGTATTTGTCGGGAAATCAGAATGATTTTGATTCTAGCAATCAAGTTAATCCACTTCTAGAGTTCTGAACTGTTCTGAACCTTAAAAGCAAGACACTTGACACAAACTTTGCTATGCTGCAAACAATTGTCAACTTTGTATTGCTGTAAGAATCACCCTAAGGATCCAACACATAGATAATTGCCAATAAAATTTGGTAAAATTGAAAGAGCACAAAAAGGGGTTCGTTCATCTTTCATTCTTAAGAAAATGCCACAATTTTTTCGTAATCCTTTAGGAGAAATGAACATAAATTTTGTCATTGTATACACGACCGTTCCTTTGAGAGTAAAAGAGGAAATAAGACGAAGAAGTAATGGGAAATGAAAGAACATTTTTTATGATTTTTATTGCAAATGTATCAAGCTAATAACAAGCAGAAAAGGCAAGGGACAGATAACAAACGGATGGGATACAAAAATGGAAAGATTTTTAATATGAAAATGGATTTACTTTTAATCTCCACTTTTTAGATACACTTGGATGAGTTTTAATGACACTTTAATCGACTTTTATTATTATGAATATAAAATGAAAAGGAAAATACTTAGTAAATGGATTAATGACTGAATGAACAGTGATAAATTTTAATTAATTTTCTTGTTTTGTTTCGGATCGGCTGTTTTGAGATATTTGGGCTTGTAATTTATTCGCGAAATATTTTCTCAGTAATAAATAAATTGGCATATTAAAGAAGAACATGTTTTGTAAAAATATTTTGGAAGCAAATTTTTGTTGAGGATATTTAATTAAGAAAAATTTATAACATCCGTTGTAATAAAATTTTCAGATTATTATTTTTTTTTGCTTTATCCAATTAGAAGAAGATTTTGAATTTTTTCCCCTGTTTGTAAATATTCTGCTACAAAGTTTTAATGCTGCTTTAATTTTATTTTGTCATAATTTTCCTAAATTTCGATTTTTTAAAACATTTAAAGAAATTAAAAATATTTGACAATGAGTTAAATCACAACTAGAATCTAAAGGCCCTTAGTAAGGTGTTTTAGGGTCAAGGAGGAAAATCAAATAGATTTGATTTTGAATTTCTGCTAAATTAAGTTTTTAAAAACTAAACTAGAAATAAATTATGCATCCTGAAAAAAAAAACATCCTCACCTGCTAATGATCACAAATTAGTTAAAAAATCATCGGAGTTAATCCCGGGATTATAAACATTTCAATCCCACGATTAAAAATCCTAAATAAGAGTAAAGCAAATAAAAATGCAACTGATTTGAGGAAAAAGATTGAAAAATATTCGACCTTGGTCGACTTTTGTCGACTATTTGACCTACCTCATAATTTTATTGTTGTACTTCAGCCATTTAACCTTGATTTAACCGCATTTAATATCAATTAAAGCAAGAATATGCTTTGAATTAATTTGATTCAATCAGTTTTGTTTCAATCCTTTATTTAAATTCCCTGGTATTTATTTAAATGTCGTCAATGCATGTCTTTTTGATCTACTGAAATCTACTGATAGTTTGTTTTTTATTGAAAAGTTGTCTCCACGCAGGCCAAAGAATAGTTCAATAAGAAACAAGTGGTATCTACTTAGAATTGAATAATAAGTGGTTAACATGTACTGACTTACTTACTTACTGTAACCATGTTCCTATGTGGATTTTAGGTTACAACAAAAGGTTTTCCATCTGACTGTGTTGCTGGCTTTGTCACCTAGTTTGTACAACTTTTCTATCCGCACATTAAGATGACATTCTTTCATTATTGTTCTGCTCCAAGTAGCTGACATGTGATTCCTATTTAATTATACAACATTTCAATATTTATAAATGAAATCGTAAATTATTCAGAATGAGAAGAAAAAAAATTATCAGCCCAAGTTCAGTCAGATAAATCAACTAAAAGTCATAAACTATATTCATAATCCTATATAAATTATTATTTTGTGGTATTTTATAAAATTTATATTCGGTTACCAGTCTTGCGGTAAACATTTTAAGCGACATCATCTATTAACATTATATGAAAACCCATCCATATCCGAAATTCAATGATTGCGTAAAACTACGTGAGAGTTAGATGAACGTGATTTTGTGAAAACAATTTCCGGGTGTTGCGTAAATGGAAGGAAATTTCAAGCTATAGAAGTGAATATTGTGTATGTCGTTGTATGAAGAAGTAAAAAAAAATGAGATGACATTATTTAGATTATACAAGAAATGAAAATCTTACCGCTAACTCGCACAAACAGATTTGTGTCGATAATTCTTCTTGTTTCCATGCTCTTACTTCCTTACGTTTTTCTCCTCACTTCCATAAGCATTTGTGTATATTTACAAAGAAACGTGGTTTCTCCAAAATACGGGTGATAATATTTAAATATATATAGAAGAAGTAGAAACAGCACCTGCGAAATTATGTACATAAACATTCACCCTCATCATACGCAAGTAGAAGCAGAAGTTGTGACTAATAATAACAAAGACAACCGCCGTAGCTAAAAGATTTTTTTGAAAAAGTAATGTGAACGCAAAAATCAAGTATGTAAAAGTTAAATATGTTGGAAATTTATTCAAGGAAGTGGCATTAGGGCGCATAGAATGATAGATTTTTTTTCGAGTGCTTAGCATGTACGAGATAGATTGCTTAATCATAGATAGGAAACATTTGTACTTTTACAAAGTTCAAGGAAGGTTTCCTAAATAGTAGAGAGACATAACCATTAGATGAGAAAGACTTTTAGGATAGGATGAGTATTTTTTGTGGGACAAGCAATATTTAAGAGTTGTGGGAATTAAAAGAGAAGAGGTCTTATGGATTTTTCATAATAATCCTTAGAAAATTTAAGAATTTTTTGATTTGAGTAATGCCACAATTTTATTGAACTTTTTGTCCCTTTAACGCGAAATCAGTCTTAACCACACAAAAACTGGCTACGCCTCTGATCCTCATCATTATTTTCATGCAATGACACCAATAATCACTAAATATCATGTTAAATATCCATTTTCAAATCTAACCTGTCTAAATTCACATCAAGTAACCTGTACACTTACGAAGCATGTCAATCCCAAAAAATCCACTTAAAAAATTTACATTTCAACTACCTTAAAACGAAGACAAGAAAAGGATGAAAAAAAAAATCATTGCGATGGTGTCAAAGAAGCAAAGCAGTTTAAGCGGCATTTTCGTTGTCATCATCATCATCGTTCAGACATTCAACATGTCTTCAACAGGATATTAAGTCGGATGTTGTGAATGAATAGCGTTAATTGAAAATTAAATTTTTTTTCCACTCAGTCTGTATAAGCCATGAATGTTGGAAGGAAATTTCGTTAATATCGAAATATTTTTTTGCTCAAATTATTTAACAAGCGAATGAGAGAGGCAATTGTAGACGATGACGATGATGAGAAGGCTAATCGTCGATTATTTCATATCCGATTAAAGTAACAGGCGACAGACGCATTCAAGCTGTGTCTGGGAGAGGTTTAAGAAGGAGTCAACCGATTAAAAAATTGAGGATGTTGAGGGGAGTATGATTGAAATGCGATTGAGCAACGTGACTTGATTTTGATACCTTTTAGTTTTGGACGCTATTAGGAAGGGTTTCTAAGGTGTGCATGCTTTTATTAAGAGATCACGTGGAAGGCTAAAGAACTAGAGATAGCTTTGTATTTGGTATTCGAAATTGGCAAGCGGTAGCCAGCGATAGAGTCAGCTTCCGGCGGCATCTGAGGGAGGTCATGGATCACAATTAATCTGTACGACCAGCGAAGTAAGTAAATAAGTATGCTTTTACTAGTGGGCCGGTTTTTAAGCGCTACTTGGAGAACCTTACCACAGTTTTTACAAGTGCCATAGTCTTTGCACTTAAAAGCCCCAGAAACCAATCTAAGGTGTGGCTTGATATAAACAAGGACTTTAAAATAAATATTATTCAAGGCGTAATCACTCGGCATTAATCCCAAAACTTCCCGAAAAAATCCCAGAATTTCATGTAACCAAACTTGGAATCCCACTTGAAATCCCTACTACAGTTGATGAATAATTGTAAAAAATTGTAATCATTTATAAATTCGAAAAGCTTACATTCACTTTTTAATAAGAAATAATTTTCTACTAAATTCTACTGAATTCACGCATCGATTCCAAATAAAATTTTCCTAGTAAAATCAGGTAAAATCATACAAACCGAGTAAAATATTCATTACAAAAGCCCACCTTCAATTATCAACATAGCAAATTAAATTTTCTCGGTTGTAAATTGAAAATGAAGATGAAAAACCATCAACATTGGGTTGCCTGAAGGCTTCCAATGAGAAACTATGACGTTTGTTTGGAAAAACATTTAAAGCTGTTGTGCGATTACAATAAATTTTGTTTTTTTCATAGCGGAAATTAGGGCTTGAAATCAATATGAGCAAGTTTTGTTAAGTGTTGATAAGACGTTTAAGAAAATCTGTTACATGCTGAATAATATGTTATGAACTTTGAGAAAAGCTCTATTAAGGTTTTATGTTGCGGTAATGAATAATATTTATGACGTACAATCGTACTCGAGGGCTTTTAAGTTTCAAGGACGCAATAATAACTTTATTATTTTAACTTTAAGTTTCAAAGTCAAACAAAGTTACATATTATGCATCAACAGAACCTTGAAAATATTCCATTCTCATAAACTTAAAACACACCCATCTATATCAACATGTATACACATTTATTTCATTCCTCTCAAAACAATAACTTACAACTGCTTCATTTCATTTGATAACCTCAGAATGATCATTTCTTTTTGAATTGTTTTCAATAAATTAAAAGAAAATGCTTATTTTTTGCACCTGTGAACACAATCAACTAGTACATTAAGTGTAATAGAAACAACAAAGTGTGCTTGCTGCCTGTAGAAACTATTTTTATGTGACGTTTTAGTTTTTATGAGAACAGTTGGGATGCTGACGTAGAAAACAGGTTAATATTTGGTGAGGAACAGACGCGTAGCCAGGGGGGGGGGGGGGGTTGGATTTGTTGGACAAATTTGGGGGGTTTTATGAAAAAATCACAGAAATCCCTCCCCCCCCCTTAAATGTTTCCATACAAAAAAAATTTTTTGTCCACCCCCCCTTCTAATTCCTGACTACGGAAATTATTGTTTGCTTCTCAAGATGACATTTGTCCTTTTTCGAATCATATGTAGGCTACAGGTAAAAATGTCATCAAAGGAGTGGTTCGGATCCCACCCTGGCGCATCTCTGGATCACAATTGATTCGAATAGGTAAATAAGATTTCCCTCAAGATGAACTAGAAGATATTACAGGATTATATTTTTTTTTGACAATTTTAAGGCCTATAACCAGTCATAATACAGCATTTACTTCTTTGAAATATTCAACAAATATCCTCTGACGCAGCACACGAAAACAATATTTAATAGAAAACACATGGAGAGATCCAATAACTTTTTTCCTTGTCGATAAGACGATAAACAGACGTCATTGAAAGTAAATTGAGATATCTCAATAAAAAATGAATTTATCTCTCCAGTCACAAGCAGGCAGTCAAGACAGTTAGTCATAGTTCATAGTGTACTTTCATAAAATAAAAATAATTTTCTATACACAAAAATGAGAACAAGTGACATTGTGTCGAAAATAGTTCAAGTATGCGTTCTTAGCCTTCTGATAATGCCACATTTTTCATGGAGCTTATTTGAGGGCTGCGACGAAAGTTATAGTCTTGACACAGATGAAAACATAACAATTTCATCTCATGCAACCTTGAATGCCAAAAATGTGTCATCATGTCGTTACATCATCGCTGCACCACCAAATTATGTCGTAAAAGTAACTTGTGAGCTTAAATTTGATCAACTCGATTCAACATTCTGTCGTACAAAACGTTTTTTTGTGTCAGTTGATGGAATCTCAAGTTTGAATCATGCACACAATTTTTGCAATAAAAATGAAACAATAAGAATCATCAGACGACGAAGTGTCATGAATCGCTTAGTTATGGCTTATGTTTCGAAACGTGATCTTGAGGATGAAACATTTACGTGTACAGCATGGAGAGTTAAATCCAAATGTGAGTGCGGTTGGTCCAGGCGAGTGCGTATATTTAATCAATTTCTTGTTCAATTGACATTTCAAAATTTTCTATTTTCACATTTTTGTGTCTACTCCACAATTCAATGTCATTTATGCTCTTTTGTTCTTCTCGTAGGCGCGAATTTACAATGGTGAAAATGCACAAATGCATGAATTCCCATCGATGATTGCACTTGTTGCCATATCCCTTAATAAAGTATTTTGCGGTGGTGTCATAATAAGCGAAAAATATGGGTTGACTGGCGCTCATTGTTTCAATGAACCGGAATATTCTAATTTAACAAATATTGCTGCGTATGTTGGAGAACATGATTTGAGTACAGCAAATGAAACCATTTATACAGAATCATATGAATTGGAAGAGTTCATGCAACATGAAGGTTATTCTCAGGACTCGTTTACACAAGACTATGACATTGCATTGATAAAGTTTAAAAAGCCTATAGCATTCAATCTTGCTGTTGGTCCTGCATGTCTACCATTCAATTATAACCATGAGTAAGTAAGCTTGTTGAAAAAGAATGAAATGAGCTTCTGTCGTTCTGTTCTGTGTTGTAAGAGTAGAATGAAATGAATAAATGATGAGAATAGGGATGGAACGTTATAAAATTGTTAGTGTCAAAGGGACCGTACCCAAAGTAATTGTTGATGCAAAAATTATATCAAATAGTGGCAATTGACTAAGGTCATGTTTGTAGCGTTTAAAATTAAAATTTATTCCAAATATCTTAATTTAAAGCTCGTAAAATTGAGATATCCTTAGCTGTTGTCCATACCTTGCATTCAAAAAACTTTCATCATGACATTTCAACCAGAACAGAACAAAAGAGGAGAAAAAGCTTCAAAAAATCATTTTCATTTTCAGAGCATTTGATACAAATTACGTGTATGCTATTGGATTTGGTTATCTCGAGTTTTTCAGTCAGGAACAATCGAAAATTCTACAGAAAGTTCTATTGCAAATATTACCAGCCGACAAATGCAAAGACTCAGAAATTAATGCCAGCAAAATGTGCACATTTGAGCAGAATAAAGATAGTTGTGTGTCAGACAGTGGCGGTCCATTGATTCTATTCATAAAAGGACGACAACATGTTGTTGGATTGATTAGCTATGGAATTGGTTGTGGTACACCATATCCATCAGTTAATACACGAGTCACATCATATATTCCATGGATTTTGAAAAATACTTACGATGACACGATATGTCGGAACTGAGGAGGATTATAATATCAATATTAGGAAAATCAGGGAATTTTAATTTATTGAAAAATAAAATGTGAATTTTTATTACTAAAATCTCGAAGTTAATTTTTTTTGTGCTCATTTCTATTCGACTTATTTTACGTTCATATTTCTTTTCTCTCTCTATTAACGCAAAGTACATATCTGGATATAAAGAATCTCTTTATGATTTTAGCTATTTATTCAAAATGAAAACTGTGAGTTGCATTTGAGAATAATAAGAAGAAAATGAGTAAATTCAAGTTGGAAATGAAGACGGTTAAAAGCGATCTATTTGCAAGTTATGAATTTAGAGCTCAAAATCGATACAATTCGAAAAATTTGAGTCATATCGAGTCGACTCAACTCTAGGAAGAGTGGGAGTTAGCAGTGACATAGCTACTGTGTGAAAAGAAACTACGGCTTAGTCCGAGCTTGGTCTGAACAATCTGCATGTGCCTCAATAAGACAAACCAAAAAAATCATCCACACAACTCAAATCAAGACTCCAAAATTATGCTAAAAATTTGTATATGTACATCAGCAGATAAGAGAAATGGGAGATTGCAGTACAATGATGATAAAATTGGATGTTCATCACACGCTTATTGAGCAATTTGCATTTTTTTCATGCGATGAAGAAAAAAAGAAAATGAAAATTTTATTAAACTCTGTAACTTTTTTGTACTCACTGCTCCCCTTTTTTGACGTTCCAACCTCACCCCAATGTCGATCTCAAATTTCATGTTGATGCCGTTATTATGATTGAAAAATGTACACGAATAAGGGAAGATTCTATGAAAAAAGAGAATAATGATGGACATGATAATCTGGGGAGGATGCAAACTATACCCAAAGGATTCATAAATCTTGTCAAATAATGATGACGGGACGGTGGCATTTCCGCTTCTCTTTTTCATGACATTATCATGATGTAGCATGGCAAATATTGTCTGTAATATAATAAAATTGTAGTTCTATAACATATGATGATGTCTATCCTATTATACATCCATGTGATGAAAATGCGAGGTTAACGGTGAAAGATTGAGTATAGTAAATAGTTTTGATGACATGATAATTGGAAAACTTTTCCTATTTATTTCTGGCTCCCATTATCCCTTTTTTTTCCTTAACCATAAATAATTTTTCAGCCTCTCGGACAGAAAGTTTTCTTATTTTATGGGGTACTATTTACTGGACATAAGCCTAACTTTAATAATGCTATTTAAGTTTATAGATAACTTTTTTTTGATCAATTGATAGACATTATTGACTTTTGATCGGGGAAAATTTGATAAGTTTTTCATTTCCCAGTTAAATTACTTTTTTTGTAAAACTTTTCTGGCTCTTCTTGGAAGGAACTGAATTTCTTTTCATAAAAGAAGAAAAGGTGGCAAATTGTGTTGAAAATGTATGAATTGATTCTTTTTGTATTGAATTCTATTTGCTGTAATTTATCATCACATAGATGTAAGACTGATATGACAAGAATTGAGTCCAAAGCAATATCAATGATTATGTTCAGATAGAGATGAGGTTCCGTCTAAGTTCTGACTTAACCTGTAGTAGCTTTTTCATTTATTCATTAGTATAGGTTGAGATTCAAACATTCTATGTTTTAAAACCAGCATCATGGCTGTTTGCTACCTATGCTACACCCTTAACCAGCTTAACATCAACCTCACGCCTATCTAATGTTAAATTTTTCAATATTTTGTACTCCGAATGACATTCACAAATTTATAAGCAACTTAATTGCTCCTTAAAACTTTTAAGAAGCTCTGGAAAGATTTTTTTTTCTAACGAAATATTTCAGAATTCGAATGCCAATCACAATAAATTGCAGTTCCAAAAACATTTGTGATTAACCGATGAATTGTTTCAAACATTTCCACATGAGCCTCAATATCCATCCATCACTAATCTACAACACAGATTCTATCTCAATTTGTCAGCTGTGCTCGCAATTAAAATTGAATTTAAAAGCACTTGAAGATCAGATGCATTTAATGCATTTATGCCTTATTGAAAGCTTTTTATGGCACTTAAAATGCAGTATAGAATGTAGAAAGAGTGGAAATTTAATTGAAATGTAAAAAAGTGCAGTATTGTAAATGAGAAAAAGACAATACGTAATTACATTATGCATTCCTTTCATTCACACATTCCATTCACATAAAATTGCTTTTTCCTGTTCAACAATACGTTTTCATCCTTTTTTTTGTTTTTCCAGAAGGAATTTTATTTCACTTTTTTTCCATATTCCATCCTGCATTGCTTTCCGTACGTATTTATCGATATATCAATAGTGATGATCTAGATGTGTATACGTGCAACAGATATTTTCGATTTCATGCTTCAGTAGATTTTAATTTCAGTATTGAATGTGCTCAGCAGTTTTTATCTATCGATTTCGTCTCTTTCTCTTACATAATATCTTTTAAAGTCCCTGGAGTTGATTTCTTGGAACAAGCTTGACAATTTTTGGGACAATGCTTGACCATTTTTGTCTATCCAAATAACTTTAGATCCATATTTAAAACTTCCATGAAAACTTCCATGACCAAATTCTTAATCCATACTAAATCCAACCACCAGAAGTATAATTAAGAGCCCTTTTCAAGTGGCTGTGATGGAGTTGTCATTGTTTAGCGATTCTACATTGAGATTTTATGTGGACAACTTAGTCCATTGAGCCTTTAACCAGTCAGATTATCTAAATTTTTGAGAAAAAAATTACGGTGATGTTGAGATTTCAGAACGCTGATATTGCTACAGTCCTCCGTGTAAATCGCTTGAGATGGGCTGTACATGTGTTCAGACGCTCACAAGATGCACCAGTACTAAAAGTGACAGTAGCAGACTTTATGGATGGCAAGATATCACGAGTTGAAAAAGACGCTAGAGTTCTTAATATCAAGAACAAGCAGAAGGTTTCTAAGGATAGAGCTGATTTCAGACGATCTATAAGCGCAGCAATGGGCCCACGTGCGCCCCAGCCAAGGAAGTAAAAGTAAGTAAGATGTTGAGATTTGAACCTAAGAACCTAGAAGAGTTTAAATTTATCATCAACTTTTATGATCGACACCTTGACAACTGAGCTATTGAGACAATAATTAATAATTGCATTAAAAAGCATATCGCTGTACAATTTCACCACAAGTACATTGCCTGCATATAAGTGCTAAAAAAAACTGTTCAATTAATTTATCCATTTTCTTCTTGGTGTTTATATTTTCACACGATCTCATCCTTGCATATTGAGTACAGCATTCCACGTATGAAAAAGTAGAAGAGAGTTCAATTGAATTTCACTCCTTTTTCTGAACAACAGATGTGCTTTTAATTGGTGAATGAAAAACTTTTTTTTATATATGCATCAAGCTCAATATTGCAATGTGCTGCAATTTTTTTTATCGCTTTCTGTTGTTCGTACACGTTTAATTCACTTTTGATGAAGCAAACTTGATAATTATTTCCAGCATATACTCATGATGCTGTTAAATGGATGAAAAGAAAACAGAATTAACAAAGAAATTAATTGAAAAAAATATAAACATATACAGACATTAAAAAAAGTGAGTGTTCTTTACGAGCGTGCCAGGAAATAACTGAGTTGGAAGAAAGGCAATATGAGTGCATTTTATATTGAAAATAAATAATTTATTTCACAAATTTATTTCACGTGTTTTGCTTTTTTAAAAAAGAAGGAAATTTTCATTCCTTCAGCTTCTTCATGCTACATGCCGTATTCATTATTTATTAAAGGAATGAAATTTTTTTAAGGAATTTCCCTTTTCATCCCCGACATGCATTATGAGGATAGAAAGTAAGGAAAAAGGAAAAAGGAGATGGCAAAGTAAGAAGAAATTTTGATGTGGAAATCCCAGTTAGGATATAGATTGAAATTTTGTTGTGCAGAGCCTAAGCCTGGCTTGCAAGCCGTAAAGTTTTATGAAACTCTCGTTGGTATACGAAACTAAGAGTATTAGAGTGAAAAGATGAACCTTTTCCAAATTTCTTTAAGCTCTGCACCTGCTACTAGGGCTCCCCTAGTCTCTCAAAATCTGTTTGTGGTATATTTTTTATTCTTAGGTAAAGCGCAACTGGTGAACCAAGCAAACTCAGGAGTCAGGACGTCAACTGTAAGTTAAAAACCCAAGGATTAGAATTTTTATTGTTTACTTTATTTTTAAGCATTTAAGAGTAAGGTGGCGTTTAGCTAGATTTCAATATAAAGATGAATTTACACTAGTTTAATATTCAATTGCATTTGAAAGTTTTGAATCAATTAAAAGATAAATCTGAGAACCATAACTTTTCTGACTGGGATTGACAAAATGAAAACCAGTAAAAAGTAAAATCTGAATGCCATGACTTTGCATAAGTGATATATTCATTCTCTCATATCTGAGGGGAAAAAAGTTTCACTTTCTTATGAATTTTTAAAAATATTTTTTTTTTCAAAGAGACATAAAAGAAGGAAGAAGGAAAGAAAATTCAGTCTTCTTGTAAATATGGATAATCTTATTTTTATTAAAATTTTTATGAGAATTTAATTGAAAAAAACTTTCATTCAAAATTAAAAGAAAATTCTTGACTGTCGTTTGGGTTTATTTTTTTTTTCGATGACAAAGCTAAAATAAGGAAAAGAGATTTCAACTCTTTGAAGATATTTTTACCTTTGAAATGTGAAATGGTAGAAAGAAGAGTGAACAAAAATTGAGGAAAGATTAAAATATAAGGAACTGTAAATAAAATTTATTAAATTCATTTTTAGCTTTAAGAAAAATAAATTCTAATTTTGAAGGAATTTGAATGTTTAAAATTTTCAAAAATTGTACTTAAAAAATCAATTTTTTCAAATCAAGTGCCAGTTCGTCAACAATTAAACTAGAAAGTCCAAAAAAAATAATTTTTGAGAACATTTCAAAACAAGGTGGATTGGCTTGAAACCCTATTATTGAATTAAGTCATATGTGAACGACCCATAAGAAAATTTAAACATTTTTATTTCATCACAAAACGTAGAATCGGTAGAAAAAAACTGTCAAAATTAATTTAAATTATTAACTTGAGCTTTATCGAAAAGCTCTTAAAAAGCTTACTTCTAATTTTTTAAATTTTCAAATGCCGTTACATCAAATGAACAGAACAAGCATGAGTTCTATTTCCACAAACTTATCTCATTTTTATTCTTATGCTTTTTTTTTAAAAAGACAAAAATTCTTCATCTCCATCCATTCATATGCCTACACATCGTTAATTCAATAAAATATTACTGTTCTGACACTTTCAAGGAAGAAGGGGAGAGAACATGTCAAAGCATCCATAGGAATGTTACAATTCAAAATAATAATGTTTTGCATTTATTTATTGCGTTTTGCATCCAGTGACACACGAAGACTTAAAAATAAATATAATTTAATTAAACTATTTATACTCATATGTATTAAAGTTTCAACTGCGTGGTTTGTGTTTCATTCAACTTACTTCTATTCATGTGCTTTTCTTATTCAAAATAGAGAGGAAAATATGAAAAAAATTGCATATTTATTTATTGCTTAAGAAGATGCTTATCATAATAATAGTAATAATGGATTAAGAGCGAACAGAAGATAAATTCTTTGAATCTAATTAAGAATGTAGGAGAAGACTTCAATGAATGCATTGAGCATTCAACTAATTCTGTTCTTGCGAATGGTTTGTAAATTCAAGATAAGTTTTTTAAAATTTCTAGGATTTATAATTTTATTAAGATTTAGCTAGGGGATCGTTTTACTTTTGACGTCCGAAATTAACGGTAATTTTATTGTTCTTTTCTTGATGCCACCCCCCCCCCCCCCCCCTCCTGGACGTCATAAGTGAACGATCCCTAAGTTCTATCAGTAATCTGATTAGTTTTAATAAATTGAACTTAGTTTAACTGAAAGTTCTTGATTCACATTCTTAAAAATGTTGAATTTTTATATTGAAATTTGAATTTTATTTAAGAATTTAAACAAATTTTTATATTGAAATTTGAATTTTATTTTAGAATTTAAAAAATTATTTTTAATTTTTCAGGTTAGAATTTTTAAAATTTTCATTCCAAAATTCAAAAATTTTCATTATTTAATAAATTACAAAATCCTCTCAATTCAAAACATTATACACAAAACTACAGATTCTCAATAAATCCTTATGTCCCCTTAAGCTATTTAAAAGCTTGCAATAAGATGTTCAAAATCGATTTATATCGAAGCTCCCAACTAAAGTAACGATTCCTATTGTTTATGACGACGATCTAATGAATTGAAGTAACGACGACAATTCTAGCTTAAAGCCAATATGAAGCTCATAATATACTTAATAGAATTAAAGAAGAATAAAAAAAAATGTTATCAGTTCAAGAATCACATAATAATAATCCATATAAAGAGAATTACGTTCTGTTGATTTAGCCACCAGGCATACATATGTGACTATTCATATGGCGTAGATAAAAAGAAGGCAGGAAAGCTTTATTTTTAAAATTAATAAATTACATGTCCATAACATAAATTCTTTTCTCATCTTTCTGGTCTATCCGTACATGCTGCTTATGTAATATTGAGCATAATATTGTAATATGTTCAATGTGAAACTTTTATCGTTTGGTACTTACTTACTTGTAAACAGTGCTGTAATCGGCTCAGCTTGAACTTGTCATTGTTCAAATAATTTTTTTTTTACTTACTTCTTATTCTTCTGTTTTTGCTTCTTATTTTCCATTATGCGTGCAGTTCACATAAATGATCAAGAAGAGATGATGGTAAGAAGATGCTGGGGATTTTATTGTATTAGCTGTAGCGCAGTTACTAATATTTAATTTAGAATTCATTGTCATTGACTTTGTTTGTCTTTTATGTGAGCCGGCTGCTCAATTGATGACTTAAATTACTTGGGATCTGAATGTTCTCATGAAGATATTCTGTCTTAATTTATAGGGCACGTCACCCGATCGGCAACACATTGAAATGTGGTACACAAAGCGACACAGTGGATAGTTTAGGCACGTAGCCAGGGGGTGGAATTTGGAGACAAATCCCCCTTTGTCTTGAGAAATCTCTTCATTTTGCTAGAGTTTTTATGAAAAACTCGAAAAAATCCACCCCCACCTCCCTAAAATTTTTCTATACAAAAAAAATTTGTCCCCCCCCCACCCCTCTTCAAATTCCTGGCTACACCTGGTTTACTTAAATTCAAGCTAAGGATGGGAAATTTTCGTTGGGATCCTACTGATTCCACAAAAAAACTGAGATAAAAAAGGCTGAGATATGACCGCTTTCTGAATACGCAACAGAACGTTTGCTACTAAGCTCTAATTTAACTAGCTGCTTAGACATGGTGTGGACCACATGTCAACGTGTACAGATTAGAAATTTTAATTTTTGAAAAGTAAATTCTATTACTTACCAAGACAAACTGAAACAGCCAAAGAAGATCTACATGAAAATCCAGAATGCACTTAGAAAGCCTTCCTTTTGCTTTTATCTTTATGTCTAACAATATTCCACATCGTCATTTCTAAATAATAATAAAAATTTATGCGATAACAATCATCATACATAAGAGAAATGCTGTATTTTTTTCTACTTCAATTATAATCAATTTATTATTACCTCACTCAACGAGTGAGAGACACTCAATACATGTTGAGATTGCTGGAAAGAAAACAAGACAAAAGAAAAGATGATAAGAAAGAGAACAGAATTAGAAGTAGCAGCAAATGGCATTGTATTACTTAGTGCTATTGCTCTTTTTTGAGAAAAACGCAATAACAGCAGCAGCAGCAAAAATAGAAGAACCAAGATTTCTTATGTAACAATGCATTTTATCATCATTCCTTTCATAATTTCTATTCTTACTATTTTTATTGTTGCTGCCTTTCTTGTTGCCATGGACAGATTTAACTTATTATTTTGAAATTCTTTTGTTTTCTTTTTGCTATGCTTTCGAATCATTTTTATATTTTCAGTGCATAACTACTTTATGGTATTGTGTTGTACAACATGAAGATTAAATGCTAAATAAGGCCCTAATGAAGAATCTTTTACATTGCATTGAAAAATTAATAAGGGGGAAATATTAATAAAATTGAGATTGCAGATTTTCTTGGGAATTTACAAAATAATGTTGAGATATTTTATTATTTCATATTTAGTCATGACGTTTTGAACTCCCTCGTACTCCTTTTTGTCACAAAATAACATATAAAAATAATCGTTTGATTTTGATCTCAAAAGAGGGGGGGAGGGGTTGCTTTAGCACCCAAAGACCCTTCCGACTATGTCTTAAAATCCATAATTGATGTAATTTTATTCGTGTGCTACTAACTTCGCCCTTACAATCTATCAAAAATTTAACTAGTTTGGAATAAACTCAACATTTTACTTCTCATGTTCAACATTCTTTCCAACAAATCTCGGTTTTGTAACTTTTATGTCAAATTTACATGTTTACCTCTACGAAAATTGTGAAAAATATTTAACTGGCATAAAATTTCAACAAGTAATGTTTCATGAAACATCCTTCAGGCAATATGTTGATATGCTATTCTTTTGACAACGCACGTGGGCACTACAAGAGAATTTATTGTTGATCTAATTTAATTTGGACCAGGCGTGTAGCAATGAGTTAATAAAAATAGGTTTGAGTTTAAATTAATTAAAAAAGTGTGTTTTATTAAAATTTTATTATTTTTGGACGGTTTCAAAAATCACAAAAAATTTTAACATGTTTTTAACATAATTTCGTTTATTTGGCATACGCTGCACCATTTCCATACACAGTTGGATCTGTTACTTGATAACTTTGCTGATATCCACTTGGATAACTATGCTGACCACTTACTGCAGGGTTGTGTCCAGCTTGATGGGATTCTTTAGCATTTTCACCATCTCGTCTATAACCACCTCGATATCCACCTCTATAATCTCCTCTATAGCCACCACGATATGGACGATAGTCATCATAATATTCTCCTGAATATCCTCCATATGGTCTGTAATGTGGTCGATGGTGATGATGATGCTCAATGCTTACATCGAATAAGTCCTCTAAAAAGTCAAATCTTGGTTGACCTTGAGCATTTTGAGCTTGATTTGCGGGATTAGGTGCTGCAAGATTTGGACTGGCACATGGACACGGAGTATTAACTGGTGAATAACTTGGATAGTATTGAGGTACTGCTTGTGAATAAGCAGTATAAAGAACCAAAATTGTGAAAACTTTCAACATTGTGAATTATTTCAAATGCAACTTTTCTTAATCACTTCTTAATGAAGACTGACTATTAAATAAGATCTTACAAGAATTTAAAACTTTTTGTGAACATTTTTATGCAAAATCAGCGAAAAAAAACTCATGGTTGAGAATTTTTTGATGACCATAAGTTTTAAAGTGGTGTGTCATATTTGCTTGTAAACATAGTCTACTTACGCATTGCAATCCATGTGCTCATGAAAATAATGTTTGTAATATTTACATTAATGAATAAGCTTTATTTGCGACTGTGAGTGCATTCATATCAAATGACATATCTTAAATTCGTATAATGTCCAGTTACTGACCACCAGCAAATATTTAAAATACATTGAAGCAATAAAGGATTTGATTAACTGTTCATTTTTCACACAACAATCAAATCTTGCCTCTCAAAATAGCTTAACTTCAATAATTTCTTGAAGTTTCTGCATCAATAAAATAATTTTTTTATTGAATTAAGTATGTGAAAATGTTCATGTCTTTCTGGGAAGCACGCAATGTCGATCGGATATAAAGGATGGACAAATAACGGGAAGAATGATAAATGTACATTAAATTGACACTTACTCACTTTAAATGTTATATTGAATAGTCTGATAATTGATTTTGACTCATCATTTGCTTCGAATGGCGCAGTAAAAAGATCAATCGGCAATCGACCGACACTTTGATATGCGTGAATATGCAGCCTTAAGGCGATTGATGAATTAAAATTCTCCGGTACGTGAATAATTAATTGCGCTTTTGTTTTAAGGTTTAGCGGTAGGCATTTTTTAAAATTTTGAGTATGGCATGTGATAAATTCATTTGAGACAAATTGATATTCATTCCAATTCACAATTGATGGAGCTTTAATAAATTGAGTTTTACTCATATTTGAAACTTAATATTTTATAATAATTTAATTTAATTTTATTATTCTCATTCTGTGGGATCCTATAATTCCTTTAAAACTGGCCAAGGCACTTCCAGATAGAGAAAAATCTGTGATATCAACACTTAATTAAGAACGAACCGAACAAAAATCAGAATTTTTTAGCAACACAATATAGCTAAGGGGCCGTCCACTTATGACGTCCGACATTTAAGGGGGAGGGGGGTCTAGGATTTTGTGACAGTTCAAACAATGGAAATTTTTTTCTATAGAATTTTTGTGACAGAGGGGGGGAGGGGGGTCTAAAAATCAGGTTTTTTGATGGACGTCATAATTGAACGACCCCTGAGTGTGAATATAGAAAAAGTTTCAACACCATTCACGAATTAAGAACGTAGGCATCGATTAATTAAAATCGACAATTTTATCTCGCAGACAACAACAAAAATATTCACTTTTATCAATTCATTTCTATTCAATTAGCGATCGATAAAGGTGAAGAAAAAGAAGAATGAATATATAATTTGAACATTCCACAAGCAAGCTGAGTATCTATGCGCAGTGCCTAGGAAACAGCAAAATAATTAAGTAATTAAAAAGCGAAGAGAAAAATTTCACTCAACATTAGTTCCAATACATTTTTCAGACATGAATGAAAAGAGAAAAAATTCTTCATCGTCGATTTTCTCAAACATCGAGAAGCAAAAGAGCCCATCCAGAAGTTTAATCTGATAATTGAGGGTAATGAAGACAATCACACAAAAAAATGCTTTTCTTGTTACGCTTTTCGGTCTTGAAAGTAAGAGATAACAAAATGAATATAGAGGAGAAGAAAGAATAGATGAAAATAAATTGATTTCAATCTATTATAATGCAGGTTATACAAGAACAATAGTATGCCGTGTGTTGTTTCTTCTCAAATGATATGCATGCTTTTTATAATCTGCCTGGTTACTAGTAAGACGCCCAAAAATTAATACTTGAAGCAGAATTTATTGTTGATTGGGAATGAGTGAGCTTCGGGAGTGTTTGTTGATCAGATCATGATAGATTGTAAAAATCGTACCTAGCTGAAAATCGAGCTGGTTTCGGATTAGAACCCAAATTTTTGAATTCAAAATTATTTGAATTCCTTCTCCTACTAGGCTTCAGATGCCTTAATGTCTTAACTTTGTTCAGACACAAAACTACCTCAAAACTAGTGTATCGGGTTGAAACCCAATGCGGATTATATTCACACATTATATTCACATATTATCAAAAGTCTTATGGATAAACCAAGATTTGCCCATCATAAGTATGAAGGTATGAATCTTGATAAGTCAGCTGAGCTTCGTTCAGCATAAGTTTGAAGGTTTAAAGCTTAACGAACATTCTTTAAAAGTTTAAAAAAAATTTTTCATTCAAAGTTTAATTTTATAAAAATCACAGTGAACTTTTGTTTTGAAAAATTCGTAAGAAAGGAAAGTTTTTTGCTTTTTCTGAAGCAACGGCTGTTCCTACCTTGCCCAAAAACAATACAGCTCATCTATTGAGTAGCACGGATCAAATGTAAAAAACTAGAAGTCTCTACGATGTCTCGTTATTGAGATTTCTTGCTGATTAACTTGCTTGTTTGCTTGTTTGCTTACAGAAAGCATATTTTGCGATTTTCTCAGCAATGCCGCAACCAATTTGAAATCTATTTTTTTTGCAAAAGATGTAAAATTTCAGGCACAAACTTTTCTTTTTGACCTTTTATAACCAATTTTGCTTCGTTTACTCACAAAATGCGAAAAACTGATTTTTCAATCTGAACAAAGCCAATAGATGCACACGTGAAAACGGTGTGAATACAATACATCTTTATAACGAAAGTAGTTAAGAATGAAGGCTATGAAGTTTGTCAATCAAACTTAACACACATTGCAAAATCTGAGTTTATCGACATATTTGAATTTAATCAGCTATTAAATATGTGATCACAAATTGTTCGAGACATGAAAATAATCAAGCATCCCTTACCTCGTGAAATTTTGATGCAGTTCTTTAACGCGCACTTTATGTCACATCTTCTTTATTGCTCATTACTTAACGCTGAATTGAATTGCGATGACGTCAGAAAAAATTTTTTTTAATTTATTTATGAAATTTTTCTATCTTCTCGATTTCATTTCATTGACAATGTCGTAAGGCATTGGAACTGATGCTTAGAAAGTTGAATAAGATTAATTAAACTTTATTTTTGGTAGTAGCTTAGTAAAGATTACAAAAAATTTTCACGTTCAAAAAAACTTTACTAAGCTAATAGCTTAGTAACGAGTAGTAGCTTATAACGAAAAAACAGAGCAGTTGTTATAACTTATGCATTAAATAATGACTTGATAAAAACAAACAAGACACAAACAAATTCATTTTGTAAACTCTTTAAGCAACTCCTTAAAAATGAACGATTTGGAAATTCCTTTTCTGTCACAACTTATTGACATTAGTGTATAATAAGTTTGATGACTACTATCAGTTGTTTATTTACAAAAAAAAAGTCGTCATTCGATTCGAAATTCGTAGGAAAAAAAATTGAGAATAAAACTGATAAAGACCGCATTTCCGTAAGATGATTTTGAACATTCAACCAAAACATTTTTGTTATCAGCAAGAATTAAGCAAATTCATAAATAGTCACGTATGAGCACTGACTTTTTATTAAAATTATTTCAGTTTTTATTGAGAAGTGATTCAGTAAAGTCGTAAAGATGAAAACATTCATCATTTTAGCATTGCTTGTTGTATATGCTGTAGCATATCCAGCACCCGATCAAGAAGCCAACACTCAAAATGCTCTTCCTGATGAGCCAAAATCTGATGGTGTAGAGGAACGATTTGGAGGATTTGGAGGACATCATGGTCATCATGGACATCATGGCAGATACCCAGGAGGTTTGTTCTGATTCTATGTCAACATTTAAGACTCTAGCATAATTAAATTGAGCATTAAAATAATATAAATTTTTTTTTACATTTCTAAGGCTATGGAGGTGGCTACCAAGGTGGATATAGACCAGGTTATGGAGGAGGTGGATATGGAGGTGGATATCCAGGTGGTTATGGTGGTGGTGGTTATCCTGGTCAAGGTGGATATTATGGTTAATTCAAAAAAAAAATTACATAACAGTTCAAAAAAAATAAATTTGGATTTTGAAGCTTACAATCTGTGAAACGTTGTCATATTCAACCTGAATTTGTCAAATTTGTTATGAATCATGATATTCTTAATGTGAATAAAAGTCAAAATATTATTAAGGTTATCAAAAAGTGTTTGCGAAATAAAAAAATTTAAGTCTTGTGGCACCGAAGATGATTAAAATTTAAAATAGAGCATCACTCAGTCTTAAATTGAGATAATCTTTTTTTTTCAAAAATAAACAAACTTTTATGAACGATTATTCAGTCAACAAACATAATCAGTCCTGTGAAAATGTTCAAAACAATTGTTCTTATCTCATTGGTGGCATTTGTATTCACATTTCCATTTAATGGTGATGTTTTAAGGGAAACAAGAAGTGCAGCTGGCTTATCTGATTTTAATTATGCAAGAAATGGTACACAAAATCATACCAAACCCATTTTCTGGAGTGGTGATGGAAGAAACTCGTCTGGAATAGGTTGGAAAGTTAGACAAAGACCATTTGATCTCAATCATCCCTTTAATCAAGGATAAATATTTTAATTGGATATGAGATGAAAAATAATAAAATGTTAAAAATAATTGTTTTAGTATTTTACTGGTGCTTAGGGAGGAAGGTCCTGTGCAAAGGGGAAAGTGGAGTACAGGCGCGTAACCAGGAGGGGATTTCAGTGACAAACCCTCAACGTAAACAGAAATTTCTTTATTTTGCTAGGGTTTTTATGAAAAAATCACAAAAATATCCCTTCCCCATAAATTTTCCTATAAAAAAAATTTTTTGTCCCCCCCCCCTTCAAATTCCTGGCCACGCCCCTGCTCAAAAAATTTTTAAGATGTTTTATTTGTATTTGTTTTAAGCACTAGAATATTTATGCAAAGTTTCAATCCATTTAGATAAACCCTCAAAGAAAAAAGTGAAAAAATTGATTTTGACTTGGGTCGCCCCTAGTCCAAAATTGAAAATGTATTTCCTACTTGATTCTTTGCTCAATAAAATTTTAGGATGTTTTATTTGGATTTGTTTTAAGTATTAGAATATTTATGCAAAGTTTCAATCCATTTGGATAAACCCTCGAAGAAAAAAGTGACAAAATTGATTTTGACTAGGGTCGCCCCTAGTCCAAAATTGAAATTGTATTTCCTACTTGGTTTTTTGCTCAAAAAAATTTTAGAATGTTTTATTATTATTTGTTTTAAGCACTAGAATATTTATGCAAAGTTTCAATCCATTTGTATAAACCCTCGAAGAAAAAAAGTGACAAAATTGATTTTGACTATGGTCGCCCCTTAATTCAGGATTAATTACTTTTTAATAATATTTTAACATTTACGAGAAAATGTGGTTCGAACAAGTGTGAAGTATGGCCGAGATTTGGACCAAAATCAGCTATACTGACAAAATTCAAATTAAGTGTTTTTGTAGCTGACATAATTATGACATAAATTAGGTATAACTTTTGAACTGTGTCGATATGGGTTTTGGCTGTACTTCACGCCCACCCTTCAAACTTATGCTGAGCAAATCTTGGTCTATCCATAAGACTTTTGATGGTACGGTGTGAATATATCCGCATTGGGTTTCTACCCGATACACTAGTTTTCTCCTGTTACCGCATAAATTGGATGAAGGTTCACGACTGCCACAAAAAAAAATGTTTAAAAAACTCATTCATTGCGAATAAATTCTAGGTGTGTCGAGTAAAACAAAAAAAAAACAGAATCATAATAAACACAGGGGCGTAGTCAGTAGAAATGTTGAAATTTTGAAAAAACTTTTCATCGAGAAGTCTTTTCCTTCATTCCTGAATGATCTTTTTTGTGAACTCAAAAATTTCTTCATATCACATGCGTTTAAAATAGATTCGAATGAGCGTTCGTCAAAAAATTCCCGCACGACCTTGAAAAAACGAAAAAAATACTCTCAATTTCCACGATCATTTTCCTGGGTACGCTAGTTTAGTGGAAAAACTTGAATGGTTAGGAAGAAATTTTTCAATTATCAGAAAACATTTATTTTTTAAGAATGAAGGAACCAATATTTCGAAACTGTTGCTGCTGTTGTGACTTAAAAGTTGGTTGTTGTATCTACGTCGGACTTTCGCTACTTGTTTCAATTCTCGATTTTTTTAAAACAATTGGAAATTTAGGCAGTAGTAGAAATAGTATTTATTATGATTATGAATACGGTTATAGACAAAAGCCGAGTGATATTCCAGAATGTAAGTTTAAATTTTTAATAATTGATCGAAATCAAAAAATAATTTTTTTTGTAGGGACGAAATATTTGAACATTTTAATTTGTATCGTAACCATCATCACATGTATTTTATTTTTCAAAGGCGTGTCCGCTGTGAGTATTTAAATCAATAAAATATTTTCATGAATAACTGAAGTCTACGTTTATCTCTCTTTTAATATGATTCTCAACCATTTTATTTTGTAGAAAAAGCCGAGTCTTTTGAAGCCATTCATCATAGCTCAGACATTTTCTTTAGTCTTAATTACAATTGTCATATTGTTCCTGCTGCCTTTTATTGGAGATGCGGCTTTAATGGTATTCATCATTGCTGTAATCCCAATTGGAATATGTGCTTATCTAATAGCTTGCGTTTATTCACTCTACGTTTCTATGCAAAATGGACCTGACATGTCTGCAGGACATGTTTATATCCCACAAGTAGTTGTTCAATCTCAAATGCCTCAAAATTATCAACTTCAAAATGTTTATTATGCTGCTAATCCAACTGATCCTTCATATCCACAAAGTTCTGCGCCGTATCCTCCAAATTCAGCTTCATGTCCACCAAATTGTTCTCCATATGCTCCAAATACATACTCACCAGGACCTTACAATCCAAATTTTTATCCAATAAAATCTTATGGACCAAATTCACTTCCACCAAACTATAATGCTGCAGTAGATGTTGCAACTAATGATAGAGAGAAGAAACAGCCATTTAAATATTAAAATAAAAACATTAATGTCTTTTTACGGATGGGAAGGAATAGAGTCGCTATATTACTATCTTATTTGGTATCATGTTTAACTTAAAGTCTGTCAAAATCCAAAATTTTGAACTTTACATTTTTTAACATTTGTTCATGTATAAATTCAAAATTAAAGTTATAAAATTGAAAAATGTCAACAATCAAGGATATAACTGTAGATTTTTGCTTATTTATCTACATTAAAATCTGTTAAGAAGTCGAATAAAACTAATTAGCAACAAAATAAAAATAAGCCCATCAGCTTAGAGGACCTTCCATACCAAGAAAAAAGTGGTAAGTCACTGCATAAGTATTTAATCAATAAATTATTATTTTGGATCTTCCATTTGATTCTTTACTGACCTGTCTGAATCTGTGAATTTTTTAACTTTTAGATTATCTTCAAGATGGCATGATAAGATCACTCAAGCATGGAATAACAATGCAGGACGCCAAAAAAAGCATAAAAGTATAAACAGGAACTGTACAGCTCAATATGCAAGAACCCTCCAGTAATGATATCGAACAGAATGAAGAATAATTTAGCATCTTTACAAAATGTCAATCTTCATCGATCTCTAAATATGTTCGTGATGAAATTAGTTTTGTGCTCAACAGCAGACGTAATTTTTGTTGCTAATTAAGTTCATCCAATGACCCTTCGTTGATATTTATGAGGATTGTTGTACTTGATGTGTGCTTTTTGTGTCTTAATATCTTAAACCTTTAATTTTACCTTTTTACTAGTCTCAAGGAAGACTGGATCGCAACTGACAAGAATCAAGAATAATCAAATAGAACCAATCCAAAAAGAAGAAGAAGAAGAAGATGCAAATCCAAATGGCTTGACTGGAAGAAACATAAGAGACTAAAGATGTCTAGTCAACTCAAAATATGCAGAACAAGTAAAATAAAAAAGGACTAATCATTTCTTTCTATTTATTCTTTAAAGCATCCAATTAGGACTTAATAGGCATTATTCATCATATATAATGTATTTGAGGCGATTCCACAAGATGTATACAAGATAAGGTAATTTTTATGATCGATATCGCAAGCATTCCAATATTCGCAATCACTGCAATAAATTAAATTACCTTATTTTCAAATTTAATTTAATTTAAGGAGAGACTTAAGCATCTGGAAATAATCAAGAAGCAGCTGGAGAACATGACAACGAAGTCGAAGAGAAGATTGAGGAATCAAAAGCAAGCAGTCTCTGAGAAGATAGGATCTCATATGAGAGCCATTAATATTTGGTCAAGAATTAAGCAAAGTTTTTTTTATTATAGCTTTAAATTAATTTTTACAATCCTTAAAAAGAGAAAGCACAACACCGTCCTGCCCAATTTTTTTTCGGCACTTAGAATACTCCGAATTTCTCGACATTTTTCTTGTTGCAAAAGCTTGAGGACTTCACTAATGCTTTAAGCTTTTTTCCAACTTTTTTCATACTTTTTCATTAAACTTTATAGCAATTAGTAGCAGGTGATTTAGGAATTAAGGAAGGAGTATCGAGATTTTTTTAACATGTCACATGACTTTTGCTTTGCATAAGTTCCAGTGTGCTCACTTTGGCTTAAAATAAGATCCTTTAGTCATGTATTTAGCTTTTCTTTTGTAAAAGCCGTTGAATAGAATAAACTTTTTTAACATAATTTTGATCTTTAATAATTTTGTGGCATTAAGAGCTAGAGACTTCAAAGTCGTATTATCGTCATTTAATTTTAATCCTGGACGAGCTTGCTTCAAAATATTTCATACATAATTTTTGATTTCAACCACCGCAAGCAGTTTGCTTTTATCCCTTATACATTTTTAAAAGATATCCATTATAAGCCTTAGCATAAAATTTTTTTACACATCAACATTTTAATTATCTATTTTAGTCACATATAAAGTCTCAACGAGACGAGTGTTGCCTGCCTATCTTGAAAAATTGCAAACATTTCCTAAACAAAAAAAAAACTCACCTCAATTTGCAAAAAAAAAAAAATCATGAAAAAGGCAAAAAGTGCAACAAATTACAGGAAAGCAGGCAACATAAAAAGTCAACATAAATCTTTTTATTCACATCTTCTCACCAACAAGTGAGAATCTCTCAAGTTCTTCCTACAATTTTTTTTTCTTTCTCCACTCGCTTCTTCTTATCATCTTGTAACTGTCTTCGTTCTACGTATTGCATCTGCCGACATTTGTGCTGATAATTTATCGAAACGTTTTTTGATTTGCGTATTTATGCATGTTAGGACATAAAAACATTTATTTTCGCGCCAAAACAGATAAGAGAGGAGAATTAATAGAAAAAGTTTTGAATTTGAAGGCATAAGACGCAGAATAGGTTAGAAGGAAGTCTTTAAAATGTTAGTGATGTCATGGCGTCAGACCATTGTGATACGATATGAGATTTGGGTATCAAACCCTAAAATATATGTTAAGAAATTATGTGATCTTTAAATATATGATTAATGGATAAAACATATAAACATGTCTAATAATAATGAGGAAGAACTTGAACCAACACACTCATTACATTGTATTTGGTCAATTTGTTTAAGACGATAATCAATCTTGAGTATTTGTTTGTTGTAATTTTTTTCAAGTGTTCCTGAATAGATAAGAAATACGCTAACGGCACAGACAAGCATGATAATAATTGAAAAAAAAAATTCTAATTATCTAATGCCGTATATGTGCATCTGCTGTATTACAATCAATTTAAGATCGTTGAATAGTCTAAGCGAGCATGAATGGGCAGTTTTATGTATTTAAATTTTAAAAATGTTTCCATCCATCTCCGTGCATTTAGGTGTCTTAGAAAAACAGTGAAGAGATGGGAAAGAGGAAAAAATGGAGCAATGAAGATTGAAAAAACATTATTTTAGACGTTTTCAGGAAGCATGAAGTGCATGCACCTTAGTAATTACTAAATTACTTTTTTTCACATTTTTATGGTTTACCTATCACCAGCATGTGCACCAGAATCAGTGGATATTATTAGCTTTGAATATTTTAATGTGGAAATAAATTTTTATGAGCTTGTGTGGATTTGGCTGGGTATTATTTGAGTTTTAAGGTTCAAACTGAATTACTTTAATGCTTTAAAAAGCTTTTCAAACATCGACATCCTTCTAAACAGGAACAAAGACATAAAAATAAGGGTCTTTAGCTGGCAAGGCACTCCGACTTGAGATTAAAATTTCATTAAACATTTGAAGGTTTTAGACTTTTTTGAAAAAAATAATTCGACTCGTTTTTGAGCTCCTACTTGGTCCTCCATCCAATCGACGTCAAGCTCTGCAAATGAATATTTCATAAAAAATTATTCCTCACAAGAAAAAATGCAAAATGCAAATGTGAAGACAGGCAGTGTGCGCATATTTTAAAAAATTGTATAGGGCGTATCCAAATTAAATGATCGTAATTCACTTCAATTAAGGTTCATAACAAATAATCATTTATTCGATGCTTGAAGTTAAATTTATCAAACGCTTACTTTTTCCACATTTGCTGTTCTTCTTCCTCATTTTTCATTCCTTAGTTGATAAAATGTAGCTATAAAGATAGAAGAATATTATCATACAGATGCCCACCCTTTTCTATTAGTCTACTCATATGCATGAGATTGCATGGACGTTCTTGTTACAAAGCTGATAAATGAATCTATTGAAACAATCTATCGATACTGCAATATACATTATTATAAATTCAATACAATAATCCTTATAATCACAGAATCGCTGATTTATGTTTACATTTCGAATAACTAATTCTGACAATATAAATATTAGAGGGAATATTTTATCTTTTAAAGTCAAATTTTTGCAAGAAGTGATCATTTTTAAAAGTCATTTTGGGTTTTGCATGGAATTTTTTACGGTACTTTGGTGTCAACACAGAGTTGAATCTAGGTTTCAAGAGTAAGTAAGACATATAAGATCAAATTCTAGGCAACAGCCCAGATTTCTTTAAACGTTCTGTGTAGGGACGTGGGTCGATTCCCACCAGAGCAAATTCTCTCGAACATGCTCACGAAATTACAGACACAACATTAAGTGCATGCTATTATAAACAATTTTAATGAACCATGACTACCACCGATGATTCCTTCTTCATACAAATGCGCTTTGCCTACTGTCCCAACTTAACCTGCTTCTCATCACAAAATTTCATTTACTACTTCCCATAACAGAACTGCAGTGCATTCATTTTCATACTTTATAAGCTGCAAGGCATTGATATGGAGATATGTTGGCGCAGCACTAGATGCATCACAAGATATCTGCGGGACTCTGTATGCATCGCGATAAGATCTATTGCAAATTTATACTTCGATATTGTTTTCCATTTCATTTTAAGTCTCATTTGCCATATGTACTTAGTTCCCTTTTTATTTATTTATGCTGTGTAGATGCAAGCATAGATGTGATAAGTGTTAAGTGAATTGTACTTGGCTGTAATGAATTGAGAGGAAAATTGTAAGGAGAAGTGTGAAAATACACAATAATATCTGCTATTTCTATAATGAGATAAATAAATTTTTTTTAGCTTTCTCATTCGACATTCTTTGGTAGGTAAAATTGACTTCAACATGACAGATATCTGTGTCAAGGGAACGCTTTTTGGTATGAAATAAATTACAAATTTACATAAAATAGTGATAAAAGTTGTTTTATAGAATCGTTATGAAATATTTTCACTTTTTGTCTCGTACAATTTTTTTTAAATTTTGTAGGGCATTTAAAGATGATGAAAATTAGTTAAAGACATTTGATTGCTTGTAATTATAGTGCATTTTTGAATACATGAATTTTTGAATTTTTTTTCACAAAGTCGCCCATTTATGCGTTCTGATGCTTCGTTGTGAATTATGCTAAGCTCAACGATATTATTTTTAATTATTTAGCAGTGGCATAAGACAGGTCTTGATTAATAAGCAATTTTTTTTTCATTTGCAAAATGACCCATGCCAATCTAAAGTAAATTCTAATCTACATGCGTAGTGATAGATCACAAAATTATTATTATTTACATATTTATTTATTACTTGAAAAAAAAATAAACTTTGTTAAAAATTTTTAAGAATGCTTGATGCATCTATTTAGCTTTAAACCTTCAAGCCTATGCTAAGTGAAGTATGGCCTATTACACTTGTTTTATTAATTGTGTTACTATCATGGAGATTAAAGTTATTGAATTGATTGTGAGGTGAGAATGAATATTGTCAGCAAATGTCATGAGATTCGGTTTGGACCGTTCGGAAATCGGAAGTCGCCGATAGATTTGATCATTCATCCAGGGTGGATATATTGATGATTTTTCGTGTGATGACTTTAAGAAATTGGGATCGACTACTGTTTCGTTACCAATCTACTACAAAACTTTTTTTGCACCAAATTTCTGGCTTTGCCCCTGTCACCTAAGCTTTGTTTTGTGGTCCCGAATGTTACTTAAATTCTACAGGATCTTGTTATCAGCCTAAATAGATGCATCAACCTTTTAAAAATGAGATTAAAACAGAGTGCATCTCTTCTGTACAGTCACTTTATGAAGAATCTACATTCTTCATCTAGTGTAGACATCTACATTTGCAACACTGTTTTCACAAACTAAACTTATTTAAATCCAGCATTTTTTATTTTTATTATTTCTGTTAAAATATTTCCTAACGTTTGCAATTTGTCGATTTTCTTTCAAGAATGATTAATATTTTTTGTATTATCATTTCTGAGCGAAACTTTACTCACAGCTTTATGATTCATGTCTCTGAAATGAAATTTTCTTATCAATTTAGTATTTGTTTGTTATCTAACAGAGTTTAATCTGTAGAAATTTTTTTTTTTATTGAATTGTGTAAAAAGTTTCATGTCATACAAGAATATTTGTAATATGTAGATTGATTAATGTTAATAACATTTTAATATGTTTATAGATAGATGAATATTGTCACATTAATTAGCATTTAAAATTCAATAAAATACACTTAATTTTGAACTTCAAAAGGATCCTTCATTGGTTCAATTTCAAGAGGTACAAAGTTCGAAGCACATCTTCCGAATTCAGAGAAGGCATTTAAATAACTTCCTTCTGTCATTGCTGTTCTAAACCAATTTTCACATTGTATAATTGTTGGTACATCATCAAATGATTCATAACGCAACTTTCCTTTTTCAGCTTCAATCATTAGAGTACTAAACATTATTGATTTAAATGGAACTTGATTACCATCAAAAAAATCAATATTTGTCTTCATTGTTGCCTTCAAAGAATTTAAGCAACGGATGTTGTATCTTAAGCCTTGATTTACGTTTTGGAAAGAATATCTTATCAATTGATTGTAGAAATCACGAAAGTTTTCAACAGTCACTGAATCAATAATTTGCTCTTGAATAAACTTTAAAATTTTCTTGAGTAACAAAATTAACCTCAAAATTTCTTTTGCACCAGTCTCAATGTCTCGAATATTAATATCGATACTCTCATAGTAGTCAATGCTGAATAAGTACCTTATTGGCCTCATAAACGTTTTTAATGGACGATTTTTATTTGGAATCCAAACTCTTTGATCTCTGTTCGCTAAATACATGCTTTTTACATCAAAGTACCCAACAATCGGAATTATGCCATTAAGATGTGGTTGATAGAGATCTTCATATTTAATTTGTAAGTTATCATCAACAATTATAACTTTTGATAGTAAATATTCATTAATATATTGAAAATGTCATGAATTGGATCCGTTCTACATTTAAATTTAAGAATCTCTTCAGTGCAGTTTTCATGAGTCCCATTGTCATCCCGAACACATCCAATAAATAATTTATTTTCATCATTATTAATAAAGTTCAAATTGATGTACTCTTTAGTTTGTTTATAAAGTTCAACCATTTCATCTCTGTTATATCTATTTGGAGTAACTTTTTTAAAAATTTTGTACACTTCCTTAATTCCTTTGGAAGTAAAACTCACAAGATTTATAGTGATAGCATTAGATGAATAATTTGCAGGTGATCCTTGAAGTAAACTAACGTCTGGCCGACAAACAAACTCGTTTTCAACAAAAAAGTAAAATACTTTTTCAGAATCACTCATTATTTTTAGTTGCAATATTTTATTTCACTTTGAGTTGTAATCTCTAACTGTTGTACTTTAAAATTTTCTTACTACTTTTATATTGAATGCATTTTCAGGTAATTTCAAGTGCAATTCTCGGACGTTAATCTTATCGTCAACAAAATAATTAAATTTGAAAAAACCGAACCAGTTTAAAGTGGATTATTTTATATCTTATCAAATCAGAATGTTATCTTTCGGAAGTGCTTAACTGCATCTAATAGGAAATGATTTTATTTTTGCGTTTTATAATTTCATTCGACCTTAATGCATCAATACTTCTGAAAGATATCAGTTAAAAAAGTTGATTGTGATGTCGGACGTGTAAAATTTTAGGTGCCTACGAAAAGTTTCAATAAATAGATCGATGACCTGATGCATTTAAAATTCAAACTTTAGATTGAATTAACCAATTTTGCAGTTTTCATTTAAATTAATCATCTCTATTCAACTCAATTAATATTCAACAAGTGAATTCCCGACCTGGTATCGCTTGCCTTTCTTTCAGCCCATTACCAACGCCCTTACTTTTTAATTCAATCTTGATTACTCCGAAAAGTCGCAGCTAGAAAGGAAGTAGAAAATAACATTTTTGGCAAATATTTTCTTAATAAGAACTCTAAAACGTTTGGATTGTTTAATAGTGAATGATATTTTTTTCCCATCTATGAAATCGTTAAGCTTGTAAAAGTTTCATCAAAAATTTGAATAAGTAAATTTTGTAAAAAAACTATTCTCACTCTCATTACTAAACCTATCATATAATTCAAGCCTTGGCATTTAGTAATAATTTAATTTGATGATTGTAAGATAGAATGCTTGGCAGAAGGCAGAGAATAATGAAGAAATTAAAATTAACCTAATTCACACACTTATTGCCCTATTAAATGACACCTCACAATAATTGTCAATTGATTTATTCTCACCAGATTTAATTTAAATGAAATGTTTCGTTTTTCTTCTTCTTTAACTTGAAATAATATGAGATGTAAAAGACGTAATATTGTTAAGATATGCAGTCACATAATGGAAATAAATAGATGAAATGCACGACATTTTTTTTTGCATTTTGCCTCTTTTTACATTTCGTTTAATTGAAGTTTATGTTTTCGAGTGTTCACATTGAGCTCTTATCACGACTTTTACCTTTGAACTGTTTGTCGCGCTTATTTTTTCTCATATTATTTCAATGCCATTGCCATTTTGTTTTGTTCCTCTACTTATTTTTCATTTCGTTTTGTTGTGCGATAATAAAGACATAAATTTCCATTTCAAACTGTCAAATGGTAAGGGAAATAATAATATTACAAAGTTTATGTATTTTCGCATTTGGGATCATAAATTGTAATAGAATAGATTCGTTGAGACTTTTTATTCCAGTATGAGCTATTTCTAATTCACCTTCCTTCCTCACTTAGCTGGGATAAATGTAGAATTAAAGATAAAAAATTACAGAAGTCCTCGTGTTATTGATCGAGGAGGATCTAATTATTTTGCGTTCACTCACAGATCATGAGAAGATTGTTGCAATGAATTTCCATAAATAAAGGCTTTATCATTTAACGGTTTTTTGGAATTCAAATATTTTACCGGTTGAAAAAAATTGAATTTCTGAACGCACCCTGATTACAATTTTTACAACGGTAGAAAATAATTAAAATTTCTGAACGCATCCATCACGTGTTTTTCATATAGAATAAAAAAATCATTAATTAAAGTATAAATACAATGTTTTAAGATTCTGAATTGTTCGATCGGCCAATAACTCGATAAAATTGAGCTAATAAAACAAACCCGAGCTCTCTACGATATCTGGTCAAAAAGTTTTTCTTGCCCCGAACAGCCGAACAGCAAAACAAAGCTACCTTGCTTACCAAGTTTCAAAAATGCGCTAAAAATGTTTAAGAGTTTATAAGAAGCAGATGGAAATTTTTGATTTTTTTGAGATGCTGCTTTCATGGCTAGTGAACTGAGTAATTATTGAGAAAAATAACATTTTCAAAAATTTGATTTTTTGTAAGAATTTTACAAACACTTTTCCTGGAAAGTGTGGTGTCATGCCAAAAAATGATTAAAAAGAGTTTGAGAAACATTGCACTAGAGGTTCAAACACATAAGAGGCTATTGTAGCTGTTGATAAGAACTTGATTCACTAAAATCGTCAAGTCTCTTAGTTAAGTGAAGCATAGCCTTATCTTCTATTTTGCTTTATATCCATTATTTCAACTCAGACGTAAATTCATCAGATTAATATCATTTATGTGACTCATTGCTTTCTCTGTTCTTGATCTGCGCATCTGTAAAAATTTCCCAATGACTTCATTACTACCAACTGCCAGTAAGCTCAAGCTCGTAATCTCTACTCGTTTTTAAAATATTTTATAGCTTAGAAAATCTCTCGATTCCCAAGTCAAACTCATTTACAATTGCACAAAATCGATTAAGGCATATATGCAGAGAAAGTTGACATTGAGTGAGCATCGATCGATAGATGAAAGACATTGAGATAACCGAGATTCTTTTCTTTCTATTTTACAAAGACGATTAATGACAAAAACGCATATTTTTTTTTGTCGATGCAATTGTTAATTCCATCTTTATGGAATGCGAGTCTTATACCAATAAAAGTGGCCTCAAAAATCAACATCAAATACAATGGACACACTCGATCCTCACATACTTATTAGATGTGGATTAAATAAATATTTTTATTTTTTTTTGCAATGAAAGCAAAAAATAATCGTAACGAAATGATGTGGAATGTACAGAACTATTCACTGTCGGCGGTCGGTGAGGTCGTGCTTTTCTATTTTTTGTGTGCAACTTTTTTTCTTCTCCTCTCTCGTCGACTTGATTTATCATTGCAGTTGCCGCTATAAAAAATTTTCACATGTGAAATTATTTAAATGAGAAAGAATGTGCAGACGTGAAGTGAATAAATTTTCTATATTAATATAGCGGAAAATTTATCGATATTCAAACATTTTGAGTTTTTAAATGCCATTTATGGATGAAAAGGGAAAATTTATATTTCATCTATGCAATCGTGTGTATTACATTCCTGACCATGAATACACTTTCGAATAATAAATTATTTTGCAAACGTTTTGACCTTGATTATTGTTTAGCTTTTAGTTAAATGTGACGTCTGACTGTGATAAGAAATATAAATAGATTTTCTATGGAATTTCTTATAAAGGTATTTGTTGTTGACTTAGTCTGCAGGGAAAAATTATATTAGGAATGTTAACAGTTTTTTTTTTGATTATATATTTAGAGTTTAGGATTTTGGAAAGGTGGGGTCTGAGATTTTGTAACAGTTTAAACATTTTTTTTCGTAAATAATCAATTTCCTTCTTTTTTCTTATTAAAATAATAATCGACGGGTGAGGGGGGGGGGGGGGGTTATAAATAAAGTTATGATCAATTTTTATCATCTTCCTTTGTTAACTTCAGGCAGCAATTTCATCAAACGAGTTGTTCTAATCACACTATTAAGTTTAGGTATAGAATTGAGCGCAGTTGTTTGGCGCATCTTCATTCGTTAAACTCGCATTACATGCGAATCACCCTAGCACACCTCTGCATCAGAATTGATCCACAACACATTCTTGTTTTAAGGTAAAAGCCCGGTTTGGACCAATTTGCTATGCTTTCCACCTTTGCTACGACAATCTAAACCAATGATTCTCAAACTATGGTCCGCGAATTTTTACTACTTTCCGAGAAAATCTTAGATGTGTCAATAGTGGTTGTCAGTGTGGCGCGGACTTATGAACAGATGATTATACTGCTTCGTAGCCTGAAAAGTTCCAAAGACATTATTCTAAACCATAATCATAATGTCCATAGCAAACTTTAAGATTCTGTTTAGATCTAAGATTCTAATCATGTATGTACAGGTATCAATATTCATCCAGAAGCATATCTAATCATTGAAATCATATTTTAAAAATAAACAAGGAGCATAATAAGTTTTTCCATTCTGAATAATAATACTTTTTTTACAATGTATGATAGCAATCAATTTCACACTTTTATAGCTACTTAGCACACACTATATGTCAAAATAAATATGAGCATGCTGTATAAATATTTTAATTTAAATTTAAAAATATTAATGAATTTTCTGCTCATTTGTTACAGGAGTCGATTAAGCATTAAGAGGAAAATTTATGAAGCAATTTATTTTAAATATGAATAGTTGCTGGATCATTACCAGTTTAATTTTAAATTTATAAATTATTGGTAGAAATTTACAGATCATACAAAAGCTATCTTATTGCTGTTGAGAACGTGTTCAAGATTATTAACATAGATTGAAAATTGTCAACAACTTAATAAAAATTTGTGCGTTTTTAATGAAGAATATTAACAGAATTCCTCAGATAATGATGAAACATGATAATAACATGCAAGTCCAATTTACATCAATTAAAGAACTAATTGTAAAAATAAAATAAAGTCTCGTAAACAGCCATTAAAAGAAAGTGAGAAAACGGTGCACATAATTAAATAAATTAATGCAAAATAATAAAAAATAAAAAGAATCTCACTCGAATGCAAATCAATTGACATAAAAAAATGCAGAATTTTATTTTCTATTCTTTTCCGTCCAACATAACTAAAATGATGATTATCGTCTATGAAGCATCATAAAAACCTCAACTCTATAAATTGCATTAGAAAAATTACGGCAATATTAAACTTTTATTCTTCTGCTTTCTCGTTCTTGTTCTTCTTTTGCCTGCTTTTTAATGTTGTTGCCATTATGAAAATTCAAAATAAAAATGCAAACAATGTTATCATGGTGGCATCAATCGGAATGCGCACACACAAATCTATGTACTAGTTTGAATATAACGAATAACAATGCGGTCGTAATAACTAGTAAGTCAATAAACTTCATCTTATATTGCTGATGTTGACTGTTACATGAGCGGTTAATAATTCAGATTTAATTTTGATATCGATTTGGG